TTCCGTGCTGACTGGGATTGAACCCAGGCCTGCTGGGGTGAGAGGAAATCACGCACCACTACACCACCGGCGCTGCTAAATTACCTTTTCTGCTTCACGCTTCAGGGCTACAAAATGGTGAGTGACAATCTGGAAGGAGCGATATACCTAGCTCCGGTCCTCACAAGTTCCTACCTCACGCCTCCACGAGTCATATGATCACAAAAGACTGCCAGCTGAAACATGGACACAGCTGGTTGGCGTAGCCTGGGCAATGTTGTCAATCCGACAATAGCAGAGTGAGGAGGTGCGACGCGAACACTGGCGCGGTAACCATAGCACGGTGATAGAGGAAATGCTTCGCCAACCCGAGCGTCTGTTCACCATGGAGGTGCGGCTCAAACAGCGTCTGACTGGCATCCAGCGGCTGAATAAGAAATGCTCTTCCCCGGAAGCTACACCTAAGATAACAGCCCCATCACGGCGTATAGGAGACCTTAGGGAAACCACCTACTGTCTCTGAAACCTTTACAATTGTTACAGAAACCTACAGAGAAAGACAACGACTTTTAGCGCAAAACAACGGACACGAATTGGATCATGGAATGTATTGACGTTATCCCAGCAGGGTAAACTGGCACAACTTGCCAACGAGGCGCGACGCATGAAGCTAGAAATCCTGGGACTGAGTGAAGTTCGTTGGCCAAACTTTGGAGAACACAAACTGCCGTCGGGACAGGTACTACTATACTCTGGTATTCGAAGTGAAAACGCTCCCCGCCATCGTGGAGTTGGTCTCCTACTTAGCGTCCAGGCAAGTGCTGCGCTCATCAAGTGGGAGCCTGTTAATGAGAGGATAATCGTTGCCAGATTTAGAACACGGGTTCGTAACCTTACCATAATCCAATGTTATGCGCCAACCGATACTGCCGAGCTACAGGACAAGGAGAATTTTTACAGTCAACTGAACGCCGTCGTGGATAAGGTTCCAAAGGGTGACATCAAGATCTACACTGGCGACTTAAATGCGAAGATCGGCTCCGACAACACGGACTATGAGCGTGTCATGGGACGCCATGGTCTCGGCGAAATGACCGAGAACGATGAGCTGTTTGCAGAATTTTGTGGCAATAACGACATGGTGATCGGGGGCTCGCTCTTCCCCCATCGGCCAGTGCACAAAGTCACGTGGGTTTCCCGTGATGGACATACCGAAAATCAGATCGACCACATCTGCATCAGCCGAAAATGGAGACGGAGCCTTCTTGATGTCCAGAATAAACGCAGCGCCGACATCGCGTCTGGCCATCACCTTCTAATCGGTGAAATCCGCCTACTCATGGCGCGGATCCAGCGACGGGAGGAGAGACTCGGGCGGTGGTTCAACACACGCCGATTTGAAGATCCAGCGGTTAAAGGTCTTTTGTTGAAGAACTTGAGACTCGAGCTGCGGACGTTCCAGAAGGTGGCAGCGTAGAAGAACAATGGACGGCCATCAAGAATGTCTTTATAGAAACAAGCGAGAACAACTTGGGTGAGCTGCGCACCCAGAGGAAAGAGTGGATCACAGATGAAACCTGGTGGAAGATTGAGGAGCGTAGAGAAGCAAAAGCCGCGATAGAGCGGGCGAGAACCAGAGGAGCCAAGAACGAAGCCCGTCAACGGTACTCGGCTCTAGAGAAGGAAGTCAAGCGCTCTTGCAGACGGGACAAGCGAGCGTGGGTGAACTCCCTGGCCGACGAAGGGGAGAACGCCGCGAACACTGGCGATATAGGCCTCCTCTACGATATCTCACGACGCCTGAGTGGAGCAAGGATGAACCCGAGGATGCCGGTGAAGGACACGACTGGACAATTGCTTACCGACCCCACTGACCAGCTGAAACGCTGGTTTGAGCACTTCGAACAACTTCTTCAAGTTTCGACGGCCAACCAGCCATCAACATCTCGGCATGATCCGCCTAGGGTGCGGCGCATCACTCGCGTCAATTCCGAGGCCCCATCACTGCAGGAGATTGAAGCAGCTATCCGAAGCATGAAATCCAACAAGGCTCCAGGGGTCGATCGCATATCAGCAGAGATGCTCAAAGCTGACCCCATGCTATCCGCACAAATGTTGCATCAACTATTCTGTAATATCTGGGACACCGCGACTTTTCCGGCCGACTGGATGCAGGGCATCTTAGTGAAGGTCCCAAAGAAGGGGGATCTGACTGTGTGCGACAATTGGCGAGGCATCATGTTACTGTCTATTGTTCTCAAAGTTCTGTGCAAAGTTATCCTGAATCGGATACAGGAGAAGATCGATGCGACTCTCCGACGGCAGCAGGCAGGATTCCGTGCCGGAAGATCTTGTGTGGACCATATTGTCACGCTCCGCATCATCCTGGAGCAGGTCAATGAATTCCAAGAGTTTCTTTATTTGGTATTCATTGACTACGAAAAAGCTTTCGACCGTCTCAATCACGAGAATCTGTGGGGCGCCCTGAGACGCAAGGGAGTCCCGGATAAAATCTTCAACCTCATCGAAGCGCAGTATGAGGCTTTCACGTGCAGAGTTCTGTATAACGGAGCCTTGTCCGACCCTATCCGGGTAGTCGCTGGTGTGAGACAAGGATGTATACTATCACCGCTACTGTTTCTCATCGTAATCGACGAGATCATGGTAGGTTTGACCGTGTACCGAACCGTGGGCTGCTTTGGCAGCCTATCACCATGGAGCATCTCAACGACTTCGATTTGGCTGATGATGTTGCTCCACTAGCACAACGGCGCTCTGATATGACCTAGCCGAATGCTCCTCTGCGGCGGGTCTCACCATCAACGTCAACAAGACCAAATCGTTGGATATCAACACGGGCAACCCTTCCAACTTTACGGTAGTGGGGCAAGCAGTGGAGAAGGTCGAAAGCTTCCAATTGGCAGCCAAATAGCGTCGGACGGCGGGACCAAGAGCGACATAGGTGCACGAATCAAGAAGGCTAGAGCTGCCTTTGCGAGTTTACGAAACGTATGGAGATCCAACCAGATAAGTCAACGGACCAAAATCCGAATTTTCAACTCGAACGTGAAATCTGTGTTGTTATACGCCAGCGAGACGTGGTGTGTATCAGCGGAGAACACTCAAAAGCTGCAGGTCTCCATCAACCGATGCCTGCGGTATACAATTCGTGCCTGGTGGCCTCACAATTGGATCTCGAATGCCGAGCTCCATCGTCGATGTCATCAGAAGCCGATAGCAACAGAAATTCGAGAGCGAGAGTGGAGGTGGGTCGGCCACACACTTCGACGGGGCGGAAACGAAATCTGCAAGCAAGCGCTGGATTGGAATCCGGCAGGACATCGCAGCAGAGGCAGACCCAGGGGCTCATGGCGGCGGAGCCTCAATAAGGAAATTAAGCAAGTCGATAGGAATCTGACCTGGGCCCAGGTCAAGGCAAAAACGAGCAACCGCCCAGGATGGAAGTCTTTCACGTTGGCCCTTTGCACCGCTGGTGGTGCACAGGACCCTTAAGTAAGTAAGTAAGCTTCACACTTCAGCCTGAATTAATGCTCTTTCAGATTCCACCTGTTGCGCCCTTCTGAATGCAGTCTATCTTCAGTTCCTAAAAGCAAAGGATTGCCAGTTGGAAAAGCACGGAAACTAAGCAGTGGGCTCTCTTCTCTGTTTGTCTTGATCAAGCTTAATAACCTCTGATTGTCCTCAACATGTCGCTGTACGAAGGGCCAAAACCGGATTGGGTAGATCGATAGGCAAAGTCGTCTATACGCATCTACGGAACAATAAAGAATCTCCTTCCAGCAACTTGATCAGCCAATTGGTCAAAAAGAAAATCCCCCAAACAGGAAGATGCCTCAATGAATAAGGAGCCCTTTATCCACGAAATGGTATCAACAGGGAGTTGGAATTCCCACTCTCCCCATCGCTTCAATCGGGTGCCGTGTTCTAGTCCCTTCCCTTTTATATATGTATTTCAATGTATATACGAGTTGATTGTTATGATTATTGTCAATAATACTTACATTTCGATGAAGATCGTGCTACTTATTTTACCTTTCTTGTGATACTCATCATCACAGAATCCAACCTTGAATCGTAGACCAGGTCCATCAACAATACACTCGTTCCGAGAAGGGGCTCATGGTTATCTTCTTCTTCTTCTTCAGGTTCGCTCACTACCCGGAATGAAGGCTCGGTGCGGTTAGTAATATCAAACAGTGTTACATGCAAACGAAAAAGAGATACAACCAGGATTAGTTTTTTAAAGTAATAGTCATCTGAATACCCAACTAACCATATCTCAGTGACATTGTCTCACTCTGAACCTACATTAAACGTTATCTTGTGATTATATGGTTACTTTGGTACTCACATGAAATGTTGTACAAGTACCACAAGTTCAACAACGCTCAACTATGGACAGCACAATGTTAATACCATTTACTCTTTGAATCAGCGTACACCAACATGATAATCTTCTAAGAAACACCTAAGAATGTATAGAGATAAAGCTCAACCTACAGTTTTAACTGATGGTACTTTATAAACATCAAACTGTCCTATATTGGACCCTGCCAACACACGGTAATGTTGGCCGTCAGAATGGTTCATCGGTTGCGAAGTAAAGTGCTTCTCAAACTGAAGCGATACATTTCTCAATTTTTCAACGTAATCCTAACGTAAACTTAATATTACCACCCATATGCCCGTCCACGCCCGAAACCCATCCACCACACAAAATCAAATAAAAATGTTTCTGTATGACAAACACGTCCACAGATAAACGAGAATATGGGTAATCATCGAAAGTACTTGCATTTTACTCAGGCACTTTTAAGCAAACTGCACTCACTCTCTCATACTCGAAATGTGCCACGACCAAATTGGCACAACGACGCCCTGTACGTTATCTGACCAAAGCGCAGGGTCCAGTTGGAAAAGAGCTAAAAGTTACGCTGAATCACATATTAACAGGACCTTCGTTCGGATGTACTAACCGTTCACATTTGCTCCACCAAACGATTATATTTTCAACCCTACGCAACTAACCTTAAACAATAGCACAGAAAATAGGAAGCAGCCAGATCACTTTACAGCAGCTTCTTCTTCGACTTCGGTGTCGACAGCGTCCGGAACTCCACCCGTCGGGGCGTCTTCGGTGTCGTCGCCGTTGCCACCGGCGTCGACTGACCTTTATCCTTACCATTAGCTTTATCTGATTCACTATCAGCACCACCGTCGTTGTCACTATCCTTGACTTCAATCGTCGTCGGTTGGTCCTCGTCGTCCGAAATGACCAGTTTAATATCCTCGGTTTCCTCGCACTCTCCCAGGGCACAATTGTTGACGACCTTGACGACCGGTTTCGGTTGATCAATTGGCCACGTATCGACGGTATCCTCCTCTATCGTTGGCTTCGACCGGCTGCTGGAAGATTCGGTCGATTTGCTATCGCTGATCAAACTGCGAGGCTGTCGACGAACCGCAATCGGTGTGGCTGCATTCTTGGAGCCTGTTTTCGGAGTGGAATCCCTGTCTGATGTCGGAGTCACGTCCGGGGTGCGTGGATGGCGCCGGACAGCGATCGGTGTGACGGATCGATTCTTCCCCGAGGGACTATCGAATTTTTCGTCGCTGCAGATGATCTTTTCCGTCTCGATGATGATTTCCTTCGCTGGCTGGACAATCTTCTCGTCCGAGGATGCGTTTTTGGGGGGGATTTCTTTGATGATAACTCCCGATTTGGGATCGCTGCCTTCCAGGACAATACGGCGGACTGCTATTGGTTTGGCTTCTGTCGAGGGAACGTCTTGTTCGAAGCTATCCGAGCGAGGACGTTTGCGAGGTTCGTCCTCTTTAGGCCCTTTCTCTTCAATTTTTGTGTCTTCTGGTGCTTTCGGTTTTCGTTTGATCGCAATTGGCTGAGCGGGTTTCTCTGCTTCCCTGGGCTTGCGTCGAATTTCTATCGGAGTTGGTTTGCTCTCTTCTTTCTCAGAAGGTTTCTCTTGTTCCCTGGGCTTGCGTCGAATTTCTATCGGAGTTGGTTTGCTCTCTTTTTTCTCAGCAGGTTTTTCTTCTTCCATGGGCTTGTGTCGAATTTCTATCGGAGTTGGTTTGCTCTCTTCCTTATCAGCAGGTTTTTCTTCTTCCCTGGGCTTGCGTCGTATTTCTATCGGAGTTGGTTTGCTCTCTTCCTTCTTAGTAGGTTTTGCTTCCTCTTTCGGTTTCCTCCTATAGGCGATTGGTTGTGCAGGTTTTTCCTCTTTCTTCGGTTCTTCCACCACAGTTTCCAACTTCTTCGCGTCCTTCTCCTTGTCTTTTTCCTCATCTTTGCCATCCTTCGACTTCTTTCTGTTTGTGGTAGCTTTCTTCGTAGGGGTCTTCTCCTTCTCGACTCCAACCGTGTCCTCAGCTTCCACCACGTGAATCTCACCTAATTCACCATCGTTAAAGGATAGCATCGAACAAAATCCATCCGTTGAGGAGACAATCAGAATCTTCCCGTCGCCGGACCAGGAAAGGTCTGTCAATCGGGTGTAGTGAATGTTGGAAATCAACGCAAACGGAGACTTCTGTTGGGTGTCGTACAGATAGACGGAACTTTTTGTAGCTACCGCGAAAATCATCCGGTAAGGCAGTGGGATAACCGGTGGCTTGTTTTCCGGATGAGGGCGCAACTTGAAGTACTGTGGACAGAACCGAACCGCCACGGTATACTGATCCGGTGATGGCAAAGTGATTGCCGGGCTAAAAAAAATCAAAGATGACTAAACCTCTTCTGCATGAAAATAATTCAAAATACCCACTGCTTCAAAGAATTCCTCGTATAGATATAGGTCGTATTCAATGGTTTCGATATTCCCTCGATCTCCGCAATCCCGGAAGGAGTAACAATAAGATTACCGTCCGGGCTGAAGCTCAACCTCCGGAAGAACGTTTGCAGCGTATCGTCGTGGTACAGACGAACTGTTTTACCGTGTAGTGGAGAATCCTTCGGAACCGGAAGCACACATTTGTTATTCCTGGTCAGAACTTTTTTCGTGTGCAGATCAAACACCCGAAAGTATCGATCCGTGCTCAACGTGGCCAGGTACTGATTTTTTGGATCCCAAGCTACCCCCTGAACGAAGCCTTTGTGATCGGAAAAAATGTGCATCGACTTGCCCTTATTAACGTCCCACATCATGGCAGTATTATCGACGGAACCACTGATCAGGTACATAGAATTCGGTGACCAGGACAAATCGTAGACATCCTCCATGTGACCGCGGAGGATCTTCATCGTTAACCATGTTTCCTTATCCTGCTCGTTGGTCGCATCTGAAATTTATTTGCACATTAACAATATAAAAAATATATCTCGATCATGCAGCTCCCTCGTTACAACTCACCAAGAATATTCAGCACCTCGGAGTCTCCTTTCTGCTTCCAGATGAAAATGACACTCTCATCATCGCCGGATGCTAGCAAATCTCCACTCGGGGACCATCGTACGGCATTTACGGCCCGCTGGTGACGAGTCAAATCGGCCACCACGTCCAACGATATCGTACCGCATTCGGCACTCTGAGTCATGTACCAAATCTGAAACGGCATCGTGAATAACTTTTAATTACCCCATCCAGGTAAAAAGATCCACTTACCAAAACATGCGAATCGGTTCCACCCGATGCCAGTCGATAGAAGTCACCCTTATCGCCGGACGTGCGCGGTTGAATGTCCACGCTCAAAACCGGATCACGATTGTGCCAGGATATTTCCGGGATTTGGCACTTCATATTGCTAATATTTTCTTCGCTTATTTCCGTAGTCTTCTGGCTTAATTTTCTATTTTATTTCGGATCAAAATTTCTACCGAGCAAGTTTCACGCCTTTACTACAGTTTTGCAAAGATGTTTTGAGCGCGTAAAGTTGACGTTCCCCTGCGGTGAGTGAAGCAGCAGATGAATTTGGATGAACTTTTACACCAATGAGCTGGATTACCGAGGTGAAGCAATCACTCACACAACCACTGTACGATACACGCAAGTACACGCAAGTAGTGACGTCACTACTTGCGTTTACGTTGATTTTTTGGTTTACTAATACAACCCTATTTCACGATCTGCGCCACCTCTCTCTGTACCTCATTGCTTTTACACGGCATCTTCGTGCCAGAGATGTACTCGAGGGGTGAATGCAGGTAAAAAGACAGTGGGTCTATCAATGGATATATTACGGCACACCAAATTTTGAGATCGAGTCAGCGTTGCCAGAATTGTTTAAAGCTTATCGGTATCAAAGGTTTTAAAAAATCGGTTTTTATCGGTGTTTACTATTTTAATTAATTTTATATTTTTGCCGTTTTTGGAAGCGACAATTTTAACTTTTGGGCTATGATCGGAAAATTCCGGAAGAAAACTCCGGGGAATGTTTGAATTAGTTTCTGGAGGAAGCTGAAAACAACATCCAGAGAAAGAAGGAAGAAGCTCTTCTGGAGGAAATTTGAGAAAAGTTCTGAGAGAATTCGGAAAAACATCCGCGGAATTTCCAAGACATAAATTGAGAAACTTCTGGCGAAAATTTAAAGAAACTTTCAGAAAAAAAAACGGATTTAACCAGAACGGATTCATTCAAAGGAAGGCAGAAAAGTTTCGGAAATCGGAAGTAAATTCCAGAAGTAGCCATTTCCAGGGGCAACCAGAAGAAGCTCGGAAAAACTTTCCAATAGAAGTCAAACAAACAAAAAACAACTGTACAAAATTCCAGAACTAGACGGAAGAAATTTCTGGGAAAAGTTTAATTGAACTTCCTGGAGAAGATGAAATGAAACTTCCTGGAGACGCTGGCAGAATCTTCCTAAAGTAGGTTGGAAAAAAAATCTGGAGAAAGTCGGAAGCCAGGGCGCTTAAGGGCCACCCACAGATAACATGAGGGGTTAGCGAAATTTCCTATATTTCGAGGGGTGAATCGATTAGCTTGGGACCGAAGATAGTACCAGAGAGCTGAGCCAAAAAGTAGAGCTCGTTTCTTCGGGACCTACTAGTCTTAGAGTTACCTCTACACAGCAAAAAAAAGTTGTTGAATATTACATCGAAACTGCTGCAACCAGGTCAATCCATCGGTTGTGTAATATCACATTGTACGATGTACATCGATTTTGCGAACAAAATTACATCCATTGATGTAATATTGTATCTGCTTTTTGCTATTACATCATTATTTCATACATCAGCTTGAATTACGTTGATCGATATTACATTTTTTTTTGCTGTGTATGATGATACCCCGAACACGTCGTTAAGCTCTCTTTTATGGTTATTTTTATTAGGGCGGTCAGTTTTGAAGACGGAATAGAATGACCCGAAAAGTTGCGATGAGTAAATTCGGTCGTCCAGCCACGTTTCCGTCAGCACAATCAAATCATATTCGGCCTCCGCAACAGCCAGGAAAAACGAGTCGATTTTAGTCTTCAACCCACGCACGTTTTGGTAGTAGATCCGGAGACCATTCGAGGAGCAATCACGGGAACTAGAAATCGAAAGGACATCAGGTACCGAAAACTCGGAATCGCTAACATACTCGCCTGAGGTTGCAGGCCGGTGGCGGATGTCTGCAGCAAGCGCGACTGGGTCGGGAGGTTCGGAAGCTTCCTCAGTGCCTGCTGGCAGTTGGCAGGACGGATGCATGGACATGATGTGGCTAGTGTGGAGGTCGCAGAACCGAACACAGCTAGAAGTTGAAGCGGTATCAGGCAAAGGAGAGGCTGAATCGTCAATATACTCGCCAGTAATAGCAACAATCAATACGAAACTAACAATTTCAAATTGGCTCACTACTTGACTATCCTATTAATCCCAAGCAAACGATTAACGTACCCTATTCTAGTATAAATTCCAGTACTACACAATGTTTGTTTTGATTCGCTATGACAGTTTGACAAATAAAATGAGGGGTTAGTGGATTTTCCTATGTTTCGAGGGGTGAATCGATTAGCTTGGAACCGAAGAATAGTACCAGAGCTGAGCCAAAAAGTTGAGCACGTTTTTTCGGGACCTACTAGTCTTAGAGTTAGCTCTATGGATATACGCTGTTATGTGAACGGGGTATAAGAAAACAATAAATTTACTTCTTGTCACAAGATTTCACCAATACAACGTTGCTAGTGTAGCCGTGTAAAATCGATTTGTTTATTATTTTCAACCACGAAATCAGCTGTCAAAGTGTTCAACTTGACAGCAACTGTCAAACTTTCATAGCGAATCAAAACAAACATAGCGTACATTCTCCCTTGAAGCATTGTGCAGTAAAGTTGGAAAGTACAGCCAGGTGTATCAGTGCGCGTAACGCGTTGTTTTTAAGAGAATTTTTTTATATCCGCCATTTTGTTTTTCTTCTAAAATTTATTTTCGAGCAAATTTTTATTGTAGCATTTTGAAATTTGTGCAAATTATTATTGTTATTTAAACTCCATTGGATTTTTACTACATTATAGGATAGGCTAAGGTAAGGTAAATTCGATTTTTCTCCACGAGGTCTTGTAAAAGACTGGTTGGAGAGAAAGCATGGATGAAGATGAAGATGGGGCTTATGGCCCTATAGATGAGGATGGCTCTGGTACAGGATATGAATCTGCGAGTGACGCATCATTGAGTATCCGCCGGAAAAAAGAATCATCAGACGAAGATAACAGAACTGGAAACAAGAAATTGAAAAAGGAACAAAGAAACACGAACGACAAGAAGACAGACAAATACGCTGAGAGAAAAAAAAACTAAAGATCTTCCGGACGATGGCTGGATTCAAAATAAGATTCACAAGACTTTTTTCATGGAACCGACTGACGAAAAACAAAAATTGCACATCATGGAAATAGCCAAATTGTTGCATAACATCAAAATCACAAATTACAATGAACTCAAACCAGCAGGAAAATTCCGATACAAAATCACATTCAATAACCCAAGACACGCAGAAAACTTGATTAACTCAAAAATACTGACAGAAACATACAAGTACAAGATCTATGTCCCAAAAATGTTTCAAGAAACCATAGGTGTAGTCAGAAATATACCTCCCACAATAACAGAAGAGGAATTACAAGACAACATTGAAAGCAAGAGAATTAAAATAACAAAAGTTGAAAGAATTCATAAAATGGTAAACAAACAACTGATTCCCACATACTCCATTAAAATATACGCAGAAGGTGAGAAACTCCCACAAGAAATCAAAATATATGGTGTAATGTCAAAGGTAGAGGTTTATTTGTTTCCACTCAAATTTTGTTGGAAATGTTTACGCTACGGACATAAACAAAACGCATGTAAATCACAACAGGTCAGGTGTTATAATTGCTCACAAAATGATCATGAAGGAAAGGACTGTAAATCATTGAATGTTTCATGTTTCCACTGCAAAGAACCACATAAAGCATTTGACGCAAACTGTAAAGAAAGATCTCGGCAAGATAATATTCGAAAATCAATGGCATATAACAAGCTCTCATTCGCTGAAGCTGAAAAACTTAACCCTCGTCCATCACAGACAGCTCAAAGACTTCAATCACTGACTGATTTTCCTCCGATAACAACAGACAACGACATTAACAACAAACAACAGCCAAAACCCCAAAATAAAAAACAAATCATAACAAATACCCAGAATAACATCAACACAAACAAAGAAGTTAACAATGATAACTACATAACAAAACCAGAATTGGAGCAAATCGTAAATAAACTCAAAGTCAAAATAGTAAAACAACTCAACTTGAATAAACTCATCAACAAAATTAAAGAAATTCAAGAAAAGATTAACGAAAACGTTTCAAACGAAATCCAAACCAATTCAAAGGATCAAAATCTGTTTCTTATTAACATCAGTGAACAGTTAAATGATCTTATCAACCCAGAAATTCTACAACCACCTAAACCTCCATATAATAAATAAAAATGGATCCAGTTCGCAATCTAAATATACTTCAAAATAACATCAATAGTATAAGACCGGTAGCTAACCGTTCACTTCTTACTCATCTATTACAATCACATAAAATAGACATTGCTATCTTATCTGAAATTTGGCTAAAACCAAATGAAGATTTTAAATTTCCGGGATACAAATTCCATAAAAAAACAAGAGACAGAGGCTATGGTGGAGTAGCCTTCTTAATAAAAAATGAAATAAATGTCCAAGAAATAAAACTTCCAGATGTAAAACCTATAGAAGCAATAGCAATAAAAACAACTAACACAGTATATCCATTTTTATTCATTTCCATTTATATACCTCCAAGTCCTATTAATAACACTCAAATTAAAAAACCTTTGACTGACTTATTTAATTTTATTGACCTAAACAAATACAAAACAATAATAGCTGGGGATTTTAACGCTCATCATTCTGTATGGAATGAAGCCAACAAAACGTGTACAAGAGGCGAACTAATTTTAGAACTAATTGAAAACAGGAACCTAATTATCATGAATGACGGGTCACCAACTATGTTGGAACATCCAACCATTACTCCTTTTGCAATAGATTTAACTATAGTTTCATCATGTTTAGCACCAACAATTGAATGGTCTGTACTAAATGAAGAAATCTGCGGAGATCATAAAATAATAATTTTTAAAATGATTAATCAAGCTCAACATTTTTTCTATAATTGTACTTTTATAAATAAGAAAAAAACAATTAAAAACATTAATGAAATAGATCCAAACACAATAACATCACCAGAACTACTAAGTAACTTATTTATTTCTAAAATTGATGAAACAAAATACAAACCGAATAAAAAATTTTACCCAAAAAAATGGTGGAATCCATTCATTCAAGAATTTTTTGATGAAAAAAATAAAGCTTTTAAAAATTACTTAAATAACTTAACCATGGAAAACTTGATATATTTCAAAAAAGCAAGAGCTAAATTAAAAACTGAAATTAAAAAATCTAAGAGAAAAAACTTTCAAGATCTCACAGATACTCTCACACCGGATTTAAACTTAAAACAATTATGGCAAACAGTAAAAGTAATAAGTGGAGGGTTTCCTCAAAAAAATAATCTACAACTATTGAATAACAGAGAACTAGCTAACAAATTCATGAATCTAAACTTTCCCACAATAACTAATGATATAGAATACAATGTAAATAATAATTCAAATCAACTTAAACTATCTATAAAACACATTATCAACACTCTAAAAACTAAAAAAGACAGTTCTGCTCCAGGTCCTGATAACATTTCATATCATATTTTAAAAAATACAAACATTCATCTTCTTAATGTAATAGTCAACATGTGTAATGAAGTTTTAAATAGCCGTAACATCCCAGTCAGCTGGTTAACCGTAAAAGTAGTTGCAATTCTTAAACCAGGGAAAAATGAAATTTGCCACACATCATATAGACCTATTTGCTTAATACCTACATTCTTAAAAATAATCAATATTAAAATTAAATCAGAAATAGTCCATTTCATACAAACCAATAATACTATACCGAAATACTCCTTTGGTTTTAAAAGCAAAACATCCTCAATAAATTGTGTTAATTACTTAGTTTCTAAAATAGAGGGCGCTAAAAACAGGAAACAATGTATCATGGTCACTTTTTTGGACCTATCGAAGGCGTTTGATAACGTCGATATTTCTATATTACTGGGAATTTTAAAAGAAAAGAAATTTCCGGAACATTTAATAGATTGGATATATTTCTATTTAAAAAAAAGAATAGCAGTATTAACATTAAATAATGGCACTACAATAGAAAGGATTACAAATAAGGGACTACCTCAGGGCTGCCCGATATCACCTATTTTGTTTAATATCTACACAACTAAATTACATGAAACAATAGAAGAAGGAACACTCATTCAATTCGCAGATGATTTTGCTGTTGTCATAGAAGGTATAGATGCAATAGATACTAATAACAAAATGAACAGAACGCTCAACACAATTTGTTCAAATTTAGAAGATTTAGGAATGCAAATCAACCCAGATAAGTCGACAACATTAGTTTTCATGAACAACAATATTCCAGATGATATAGTTATCAAAATCAACAACAAAACAGTAGAAATAAAATATGCACATAAATATTTAGGAATTTGGATTGATTACAAATTAAACTTTAAGGTTCACATTACAGAAACGGTTAATAAAGCTAAGAAAAAAATTAATATTTTAAAAATGTTAAGCAGGAAAAAAGGCGGGTGTCACCCGAAAGTCCTTCAAAAAGTAAATAACTCCATAGTTAGATCTCAATTAGATTATGGATTATCGGTATATTCAAAAGCAAGTAAGACAGATTTATCTAGGATCGAAAGAGTGCAAAATGCTTCAATTCGAACTTCTTGTCGTTATTTACAATCTACACCAAATCACATACTTTATGCAGAATTGGGAGAACTTCCATTAAAATACAGATCTCAATATCTTACTTATAAAGAATTGCTAAAAACACTTTACTATGAAACAAGTCCAATAAATGATCACTTAAAAGATTTAATTAATTCAGATGAACTACCTAAACACCATAGCTTTCTAGAAAAGATTGCATCAGTTAACAACTTCCATACACTACAATGTAAAACCCAACAGATACAAATACATCAATCAATTAATACTAATGTTATTGAAATAGTACCTATAATAGCATCTTTACATAAGAAAAATACACCATTAGCGTTACAGAAGTTAACCATTCAAAAATTAATCCAAGAAGATTACAATTCATATTTTAAAATTTTTACTGATGGCTCAAAAACAAATGTCGGTGTGGGGTATGGAATTTATGATCATGAAAATAAAATATCCTTCAGTAATAAACTAAATTCTAATTTTACAATAATGAATGCAGAACTAGTAGCATAGAGGTAACTCTAAGACGACTGGGTCCCGAAGAAAATCATTATTATTTTTGGCTCACTCAGTACCAGAACAACGGTCCCAAGCAGTCCCAAGCTATTTCACTCACCCCTGCATGTTCTGCATGAATCTACACACCCCTGATGTTATCTGTCAAACTTTCATAGCGAATCAAAACAAACATAGTGTAGTAATAGAATTTCAACTAGAATGGGATACGCCATAGAAGTACTTGGGACCAATAGGCTACTCAAGCAGTGAATCAATTTAAAATCGTTAGTTTCCACCCCCTGCTAGTAGGTATTATTGAAGGACTAGAATATGCTATCACTATTGAACAATTTAAAGTAGTTATTCTAACTGACTCACAAAGCGGCTGTATAGCCCTAATAAATAATAGTTTTGAAAATTACCTAGTACAGAAATTTTATACTCTCGTTCACTACAATAACTTTCAAAAGGTGGTTATCCAATGGATTCCGGGTCATACAAATATAACAGGAAATGACAGAGCTGATAAAGCAGCGAAACTAGGAATTACCAAAGCTAGAATTGAAGACTATCCTCTAAGTATAGGGGACTCACTAATCAGTTTTAAAAATGAATTACTGTCAGAATGGAACGAGGAACACAAAGAACTATCAAATGAAAAGGGAAAAGAACATTATCAAATAATGGATAACATAACAATGAAACCATGGTACCATAAAATGGAAATGACTACGACACAAACAATTACAATGGGAAGAATAAGAACATTTCACACAGCAACTAAAGACAGGCTATATAAGTGGAATTTAATAAGAACTGAAAATTGTGAAATCTGTGGAGTCCAGGAAAATTTGCTGCATATCCTTTATGAATGTCCAAATCGAAACTTGATCAGAAATAACTATCCTGTATTAGCAGACAAATCCAAATTCATCAGCATCCTAAAAAATAAAAATATCGATGAATACCTTCAAATAGCCGATTTTATAAAAGAGGTTGGAACCAATGTTTGAGTAAACCGATCGCGAATTTTTAATTGTTTAGACTTTAACATTTCCTTTAATTTAAATCTTTTATTTTGCACTCCTTTCATTTTTGCTTGAAAATTTCTGGCAGAAGTTAACCAAAACATAACATATACCGTATACGTCAATTGACAACCAACTATCACTTGATACGCCTGGCTAATATGGACCAACAGGTCTGTGCCATAAAAAGGGAGAAAAAAAAACATAGCGTAGTACTAGAATTTCGACTAGAATGGGATACGTTAATCGTTTGCTTGGGACCAATAGGCTAGTCAAGTAGTGAGCCAATTTAAAATCGTTAGTTTCGTATTGATTGTTGCTAATACTAACGGCGGTAGAGAACTCTATTCATGTTCAATCCCGTAATTTTCCATTGGTAAGCCCCTCTACCAATGAATCGCATTCAACAAGAGTGAACTGCATTCACCTTTCTCCGCAGCTCTCGGTCTATTATTCACCCAAAGCGTCGAAATCAAAAGAGTTCATCGCAGCAAAACATTCGCTTCGCTTGCCCTCCTGCTGTTAACTTTCTTCAGTTTAGCATCGTGTCGCGTTTGCTTCATAAATTTAACTGAAATATTTCAGTTTCGGATGGTGATAAGTTTTCAAACATTCAGATCGATTGGCCGCGCATTTGTTGCGGTGAAGTGCTGAGGTGACGAATCCGGATTTAGTGACCGAAAATGCAAGAGCAACAGCCCGATGTAAATAAAGACAGAAAACGTAAGCATCTCGCGAAACAAAACACACCCGTGCCTGTTAGTGGTGGTGGCGGTAGCAGCAGCAGTGCTGGCGCCGGTAAGTTAAAGCGGAAAGACCAACATCCGGTTCGGAAGGAGTTTGTTCAGACCAGTGAAACGCAGTACAAGTGCATCCACTGCGAGTGGACTACAGTTTTGAATGCAACCCGGATGGTGAAGCACATCGTCGACCAGTGCCAGCATGCACCGGCATTGGTACGGGATGAAATTGCCGCCATTCAACATGCCACGATCGAGAAGGAACGAAATTCGTCGTTCGTCGTGGAGAATAAGAAAGACATTCACGGGTTGTTCCAGGTGAGGGACAACAAGAGGGCTTGTATGTTTTGTCAGTGGACAACGGTAAGGAATTTGACCCGGATGAGGAACCATATCTTGTCACAGTGCACCGAGATTCCAGTGAAGCTGAAGGCTTTGTTCATCAAGAAGGAGGACTACGCCGAGGAAGCTTCGGCAGAAGATTCAACTGAGGTAGTTCAACAGGACAATAGTGAGTCCTACCAGGTGTATACCTTGGAAGATGGTCGATGGGATGAAAGTGGAATAGAGCCGATGGATTATGACTGCGAAGATGTGGAGGAACCACAGCTTGATGACAACTATCTGGAGGTTCAGGAACTTGAGGAACGTAATTGCAGCTACTGCGGTAAGTCGCTTACTTACAACAGCTGCGAGGTAGAAACTGAGAGTGAAATTTTTTGCTCCGATCAATGCTTGAAGCGTCAGGAAAAAACCAATCAGCTAACAGACCAACTGGCCAGTTTAGAAAAGTCGAAACGAACCGCTGGAAGCAAACGATCTATGCACGAGGCACTCGAACCGGAAGACGAAATTCCTACAAAACAAATCAAGTTTGTTGTGGTGTCGAACAGCTCTTCACCGCAAAGCACTCGAATGAAACAGGCCGTCCATGCACGAAGGACTGAGGTCAGCAACAACACTTCGACAACGGTTGAAATTGTTGACTATACCGTTGAACAGGACGATTCCTCATCGGTTCCGGAAGAGGCACCGCCATCGCCGAAGACACCAGTTCGCATCATTAAAAAATCACCCACTAAATCGGTTGCTTCACCTAAAAAAACTCCAACTCCGGTCAGAACATCCCGACCAACGCCAACCGTGCAGTCGACACCAAGTGCAAAGGTAAGTGGCATCTCCGATGTGAGTAGTAAATAATCTTTATTGAATGCCCAAAAGCGTTGCGTACACAAATCTAGCAGCTAATATTTAATAGTGGTTAGTGATTTTGATTGCGTAAAAATAATGCATATATGTACTTCATCTGCAATTGTCTCTTCACACATAGTGAAGCTTAACTATCCTGACCGGTTTGCAGCAATCGTAAAGCTTTCTGTAGATTTTCGATCGCCGTCTTGACGTCCTCGTAGTTGAGTGCACTGCCGGCCCACTTGCAGTATTTCTGGGCCTTCGTCATTTGATCCGGTGTTAGTTGCACTCCCGATGCGCCAATCACCGGTGCCGGAACATCTCCACTGGTCACGGCAGGTCCCGTGTAAGGTTGGAAACCGCCCGGAGGTTTCTCCGGTTCACTGGGTGGTGTTGGCGCTTTTACATTGCTGAATGGATCATTGGTAATGAAATTGGTCGGGCCAGACGGTGGACCGGATGGGATTGGTGCTCCTCCCGGTTGTGGCCAACTCTGGAATCCCATAGACGGATAGGGCGCCTGGGGCTGTATGTTACTCGGTCCAGCCATGGGTTCGTCACTCCTTTCGCCAGTTCCCGGTCCCAAATTGCCCAAGTCATTGTCCAAATCCTCATCCTCGTCGGTTTTCATCGGTCCAGCAACCGGAGTCTCCCCATTTTTCAAACAATTGTGAATGTAGGACGCCTTCCACTTGGCATACTTCCTGTTCTGAGTAACCTCTTCCGTCAGCTCCCCAAAAGTCTGCAACACGTCGTAAATAATCCCCGCCGTGTAGAACGCTTTGACAACGTTCTTCCCAAAGTTTCCAGCCCGATCCTGTTTGTCCGCGTACAGGAACAGCTTAAGCGCATAATTCTCCAGATATGCCTGTGCGGCGACTTCATGTGTGATCGATTCGTTATCGGTGTGCGCCTTCTTCGAAGTTTCCAACCAATCCATAACGTAAATCAGAAACTTCCGCTCTTCGGCACCCTGGCTATTGATTTTCAGTCCCAGCTGTAAGGCGTACAGTCTGCACCAGTAGCTGACGATTGGATCTCGGCTGTCGTGCTCTTGGGCCGTTTTCAGGTAGTGTGATATCGCTTTCAGCGATGCGGGAACCTCCGGTAGGTTGCTGGCCATTGTGTTCTGGAGTTTGTGAACCTGTTAAGGGTCGGAAAGTTGTTTTAAATTGCGCGAAAGTTTAGCGAACAATGCAATGAAAATAGAAATAGACACAATGACTAATCTCATCTGACGTTTAACATAAAAAAATATTTATGTTGAACGACAGATGAATTATTCATTAGTAGTTTGTTGTGAAAAATGAAGTGTCGGTTACAATGCTTAAATGGGTGATTCTGATGATGTTCATCTCACCGAATTTATCTAGAGCAAATATTTAAAACGACGTAAGCATTTTTGCAAACAATGCACCTCGTTGGTCTATGGTATAGAAATTTTCACGTCCAGTTGTATCAACAATCAATACGAAACTAACGATTTTAAATTGGCTCACCACTTTAGTAGCCTATTGGTCCCAAGCAAACGATTAACGTACCCTATTCTAGTTGAAATTCTATTACTACACTATGTTTGTTTTGATTCGCTATGAAAGTTTGACAGATAACATCAGGGGTGTGTGGATTCATGCAGAACATGCAGGGGTGAGTGAAATAGCTTGGGACTGCTTGGGACCGTTGTTCTGGTACTGAGTGAGCCAAAAATAATAATGATTTTTTTCGGGACCCAGTGGTCTTAGAGTTACCTCTATGGTTGTATGGTTGTATTGGCGCGATATGTGAGAGCATGTTATACCCCGTTCACATTACAGCCTATATCACGTAATGAGCACTCATACATAGAATTTCCAGTGGAAAACTAGATGTATGAATGCCCATTGCAAGACAGCGTATATCACGTGATATACGCTGTAATGTGAACGGGGCATTAGTGAAAATCCGAGGAAAATACATAACAAATCGCTGTCAAACTAATTTTGACAGATCTAATTTCATACATTTTTTAGGTAAGCCAGAGGAAAATAATAAACATACACAACGATGCATCTGCTAGTGTGCGTGCGTTACACGTTACTTTCACGGCCCCTTGCACCAATGCATTCCCCCGTATGCAAGGTGTTTTTGTGCTTATGCTGCCTCCTCGGTAGAGTTGAAATTTTGCACTTTTGACGTAGGACTACGTCTTTCAGGAAGGGTGCCAATTCAGGGAAATGCAACGAAAATTTGTCAGACTTTAAATGCTAATAACTTGGCCATTAATCAATGGATTTTGATGATTTGTATGTCGATCGATTCACCAGTGTTATATGATGTGTATGGTATGTCACACATTATATTTGTTAAATATTTAAATAGTTAACAGTGAAGAAATATGAAAATATTCAAATTTCCCATGCATTTTCTTCGACCACAAGGTGCTCACCCCTAACACAGCCATCGGAAATTTGATCCCTAACGACACAAGACGAAGCCGCACAATCATTCAACGTTGCACGTTGGACGGTTCCACCTCGGACTTGTTCGCTGCAGCGTGGACATCGTAGCATTCATAGCAGCTCAATACATACACCTCACACCAATGAAAAAGTTGGACGTACGTCAGCAAAATACAGAAAAAGGAGCGACATAGAATGCTAATCTAAATGCTTACGTAAGGGAAACGTAGAAAGTTTAACTGCAGTCATCGTTTGACTGCCAAGTGATAAACAGGGGCGTTCGTTTTGTTGTACACTATACACACTTTTCAGGGCCACCACAACTATCTACAAAAGAGTTAAGTTATGAAATTCACTTTATTCCAAAAAAATATCCGAAACAACAAACTATAAAATCGAACAAAAATGTCGTACTTCTACGTCAGCAATGCGGTCATGTCTTGTACGCCACACTCAAACTTTTTTTTATCAAAACAATCACCAAATATCAGATAATATCATATTATGGCTCATTTTTAATTACTCGATTAATAAGTAATCGATTATTTTTTGTTCGCTATGCTCTCATTTTTCTTCCAATGAGAGAGCAGAACATGTTTGAAGCGACGAGTAATGATCCTCTCTGGAGAAGTTAATGCTTATTGAAAATAATTGATTTTTCGGTTCGCTAATCGATTAGGTATTCGAATAAAAATCCGACATCAGAAGTTTAATGTGAAACGTCATTTTGACATCCACCGTCAGTGTCAAACATAAGGGACGTTCATTGTTAATGAGTCAATTTTAAATGAACCGGGGTTAATGACAAATGACGTCCCCACTGTAGCTGAAAAAAAAACACGAGTGCTGACCGGTTGCTATTAGGACCTACTCCATTGTTCGGCTTGATATGTTAAAAAGCTTGTAATTTCCACATCATCGTACCCCTATTGAGTGAATTCACTCACCGGTTCATCCTTCATCTGTTGCTGTGCGTGGGATTTCGGTTCCTTCACCCGACAGATTTTCTCACTCTCCTTAACAGATTGTAAACAAAAGCTTCCATTTTGGGAGGAAAACCTTTCACTTGCTCACCTTCCCAACACTACCACCAACAAAACGCCCCTTGCGCGGCTTGTTGATGTTATTCTTGTTCACTGCCTACTCGCGAGGAGACATCACACCAAAGCCGAACACGTCCCGGTTCTCGTGATTCTTTTTCTTACTTGTTTCTGCTTTTCGCGCTACTCCAATTGGTCGTGCACTGTTCTTATCAAAATTTCCAAGTGCTTATCACCCGGCTGCCGCAACAATTTCGTTCGTTTGACAGTTAGATTTCCCCGTACGATTACACCAGAAGCTCACGGTCGATTTTTGTGTGCGTGGCTAATTGGATTTGCCCCGGCCGTCATTAGAATCGTTAGCATAGAGACGAAAACATGAAACCGGTTCCTCGGGTGTTGCTTCTAATCGGTGCCGTGTTGGGCCTGTTTTGTTCGTTCCAGCAGACGGCAGCCAGCGACGAAGGATCCTGTCACTCGTTTGCCGGAGGACATGTCTATCCGCAGGAGGACGTCCGCTCGGCGGATCACAAGCTCCAATGGACGAAGGCTGTAATCTCCCGGCCTGCTCCGCAGTTCGAGGCCACCGCCGTGGTGGAGGGTGCGTTCAAAAAGATCAAACTGTCCGACTACCTTGGCAAGTATTTGGTGTTCTTCTTCTACCCGCTGGATTTCACCTTCGTGTGTCCGACGGAAATCCTGGCCTTTTCGGATCGGGCCAAGGAGTTCCAGAAGCTCAATGCGGAGGTAATTGCGGCCAGTATTGATTCGCACTTTACCCATCTCGCCTGGATCAACACACCCCGGAAGGAGGGTGGTCTGGGCAAGATCAACATTCCACTGGTGAGCGACATTACTCACAGCATCGCCAAGGACTACGGAGTGTACCTGGACGATTTGGGTCATACGTTGAGGTAAGATATTATTTTTTCATTGATGGGCTTGTTCAGTGAAATTGATTTGATCAACTTTTGCAGAGGTCTCTTCATCATCGATGACCGTGGAATATTGCGTCAGATCACGATGAACGATTTGCCGGTAGGACGGTCGGTTGACGAAACCCTTCGATTGGTGCAAGCCTTCCAGTACACCGACAAACACGGAGAGGTGTGCCCTGCCGGATGGAAACCAGGCCAGGATACGGTAAAAGCTTTAGTTTAGATTATGGAGTAGTCATTTAACTAATCATTCAAATTTTCAACAGATCGTGCCGAATCCCGAGGAAAAGATGAAGTACTTCGAAAAGAACCATAAATATTAAGCTTAACATTAGACAATGCAGATGATCCATTGTAATTAAATGGATAAATTAAATTGGAAAAACATGCATGAAGTGAATTTTGTGTTCCCCCGGGTGCAATGTATATTCGTTATGAATCAGGTAAGGCCGCGGCCGAAGTAGACGCGACACGCGACGCGATTCTTTTGAATTTTGGTCGCGTGTCGCGGCTACTCTGGCCGCGGCCTAAGACAGTAGCATCTAATACGACAAGGACGTTTTTGTAACCCAGTTATTAACGATAATCGATGAAGATTGGTCTATTTGAAAAGTGACTCGAGAAGTCGAACTCAGTGTTCATCGGATTAAAGCGGCTGAATTTGCAGTCTCTTTACATCGGATGACCTTTTTGACAGTTCAGTGGTACTGTTTACAAGCACTTTAAAGTTTTTTCGAAAAGAAATATTTTTAAAATTTCCTAATTTTATTTTAAAAATTGTCGAGGAAATGCGTGGTGAAAGGATGTTACTCGCGAACATTACAGAAGTCTGGTGTACATCTCACTGCAGTCTAAAAAAATGTAGAGAAAGTTTACCCAAAAAAAATCGATTAAGTTCACGTAAACAGTACCACTAAAATGTCATCCAAAGGTTAGCCCCAGGCACAGTGAGCGTTCATAAAGGCCTAATTGGAATGATCGATTTTCTTTGTCGCTTTTCTCTTTTGTTAATAACTTGCTTGGATTACCATTTCTCGGTGCTGTTGCTTTTGATAGCCAATACAACCTGTTACAGCACTGTATCGGACAAATTTCAGAAAATTACTTTCCTTTACTGTGGCAATTTAAAGAGAGAATCGATCATCGCAGTTAGGCCCTTATGCATGTTCACTATCGAGTTATTCCAACCAAGTAGAAGACCTGTCAAATGGATAAGATGTCGCCTCTTTACCCAATTCAGTCTTTTTTTAAGATACACCATAGCTCACATGATTGTGACATTGTTGGGCCATCTGACACTTTCGGGCAAACTGATAGCTGTAAAACTGAGGGAGGTATGACAGAACAAAACAGCTTACTCTTTCACGCTTGCATCGCAATGCGGAATGATTGAAAGAGTAGTCTGTTGCAATCATCCTCACCCACTATATTCATCACATTGATGTGAGCTCCTCCGAAATTCCTGATTGTTGCCCCCTTGAGTTAACCCCAGCGGAGCAAAACCGTATTGTTCAGCTTGCGTTATTAACGAAAGAGAAAGCCGATGAAAAGAATCGTTCAATGCGACAGTGAACACCCGCATAAACGTGAACCATAAATTGACCTTACCTAAAATGGTTAACAATTGTTTATAATCCCTGCTAAACTTTAACTGAAATGGTTATGGAACTTTACATGAACGTTTAATGATAAAGTTTCAACCTTATGTATTATGGTTTTTTGGAACTGGACCTTACAAATAATGGGTTGTTAAGAACCATTACCGTTCCAAATTCTTGTTTTCTCCATACATTTTCGGAAAGAGAACTATATTAAAACCTTTTAACTTATGGTTTGAGAACTTTAATGGTAATGGTTATGGTAGTCAGTAAGGTCCACGAATGGTTTTGTAACATCGATCAACTTTATGTGGAATATATCGCGAATTGGTTGCCTGTAATTTACTGATTACCAATTCACGATATATTCCACGTAAAGTTGAGCGATAATACAAAACCATTAATGGACCTTACTGACTACCATAACCATTACCATTAATGTTCTCAAATCATAAGTAAAAACGTTCTTATATAGTTCTCTTTCTGAAAATGTATGGAGAAAACAAGAATTTGGAATGGTAATGGTTCTTAACAACCCATTATTTGTAAGGTCCAGTTCCAAAAAACCATAATACATAAGGTTGAAACTTTATCATTAAACGTTCATGTAAAGTTCCATAACCATTTCAGTTAAAGTTTAGCAGGGATTATAAACAATTTTTAACCATTTTAGGTAAGGTCAATTTATGGTTCGCGTTTATGCGGGCATGCATAAGGGCGCCCTAATAAAAAATAACCATAAACGAACGATAACCCAAATCATTGAACTATTCCACAAATGGTTTGGATGATACCCAGAACGCGTCGTTAAGCAAATTAACCATACAATTTTTATTAGGGCGTAAATGCGATGATCGATTTTCTCTTTTGTTAATAACTCGCTTTGATTAACATTTCTCGATGCGTTTGTTTTCGTTTTTGATAGCCAGTACAACCTGTTATAGCACTGTATCGGACAAATTTCCGAAAATTGCTTCCCTTAGCTGCAGCAATTTAAAGAGAAAATCGATCATCTCAGTTAGGCCCTTAAACATGCTCACTGTCGAATGTTACTGGTGACATATTGCATTGTTCAGGTTGAACTCTTCAAACATAGAGTCGGTGTATAATGAGTCACGCCAAGAGAAAAACAGTTGAACTCGCATCACGGTTTCCGAAGGATTCCCTTTCTTTCACTTGGCAACAGAGGACTTCTACATCAACTTTAAATGACTTCTAGCAAAAACCAAAAATAACGGCTGTAGTGAATTATAATATCAGTGATTTTGTCAAATTATCTTATCAAAAAATAGTAGAAATTCTCATTACTGATCAAAACCAAACGTATACCATGACCATTTAATGCTCGCTGCGTGTTTATGATGATTTCTTCAATTTTATTTTATATTTCATTGCAATACCTTTCGTGGACCTTTCATAGCATCGTAATGTTTATTTACTTTGCACGATAGGTAGCGGATTTGACAGTTCAATAGGTAGACTTTGCTTCACTCTTGGCGTGACTCATTATACACCGACTCTATTCAAACAGTCCAATGTGCTTTGATCGATTCTCTTCATCGACTTTGTCTTTTGATAAGTACGGTTATACCACAGACAAACAGACGCACAACTTGATTGTGTATCTTCGTTCACGCATTTAACGGTTGATTTGAATATTATCAGTTCCGCGAACTACTCGCTGCAGCGCTGGCCGCTGGCATCGGATCACTTTGAGGTTTCTATACATTCTAAAGAACTTTTATGCAATATTGTTTACGAGTTAGCGAGCAAGCTTGTTTTCCGCGAGAAACCCGAGAGATGTCGTTACTGAGGTCCTATGTTTTGAGATACTACACTGAAACAAAATCCATTGTCAAAAATACTGTATTGCTGGTTTAAATTAAATACCCTCACCAATATATTTTTGCAGAAAACAATTTCATTTAATTTTACTATTATTTCTATCAAAATTACTATGCATTTTGAACAAGCATAGTAGTTTTGCCAGAATCACAGTAAATTAGTTAACATTCATAGTCACCTATACTGAATTCATAGTAGATTTAAAGCGTGGTCATATTTAAAATAAGTGTTTTCTGCAAAATAGTATTCCAAACTATGGTCTTTGTCCAGTGTATGTTTTCAAGAAAAACCTTTTCAAAGAGTTACGTCTGCGGTTATACAAACAGATTTTGCGTTGTTTTTGCCACACAGTTTGATGGAGGAGGTTCTCATCTACCGTCCAGAACGTCAAACGCAACAAGGAATGTGTTTACAGTCGAGTTATTAAGGAAAGAGAAAGTCGATGAATAGAATCGATCGAAGCAGATAAACCTTTTTGAAATGTTTATCCAGATTTGATATGCATTCCCCACACCGAAACAAGGACCATAGTTAAAACGCTGTCCAGACTGGAGAGTTATAACAACAATCAATACGAAACTAACGATTTTAAATTGGCTCACCACTTTAGTAGCCTATTGGTCCCAAGCAAACGATAAACGTACCCTATTCTAGTTGAAATTCTATTACTACACTATGTTTGTTTTGATTCGCTATGAAAGTTTGACAGATAACATCAGGGGTGTGTGGATTCATGCAGAACATGCAGGGGTGAGTGAAATAGCTTGGGATTGCTTGGGACCGTTGTTCTGGTACTGAGTGAGCCAAAAATAATAATGATTTTCTTCGGGACCCAGTGGTCTTAGAGTTACCTCTATGGTTATAACATCCCTAATAAACAAATACCATAAACGAACTGTATCCCGGATTGGTAAACTATCCCACAAATGGTTTGGATTATGCCCAGAACACGTTGTTAAGCTCTGTTTTATGGTTATTTTTATTAGGGATGTTATAACGGTTGTCAACTAATTGCAACACAGAAACCACCATCAAGATAGCGCTATAACATGTTATAACCATAGAGGTAACTCTAAGACCAGAAGGTCCCGAAGAAAAGAGCTCAGTCTTTTTGGCTCAGCTCTGGTACTTTCTTCGTAACTCTAATAGCAACAATCAATACGAAACTAACGATTTTAAATTGGCTCACCACTTTAGTAGCCTATTGGTCCCAAGCAAACGATTAACGTACCCTATTCTAGTTGAAATTCTATTACTACACTATGTTTGTTTTGATTCGCTATGAAAGTTTGACAGATAACATCAGGGGTGTGTGGATTCATGCAGAACATGCAGGGGTGAGTGAAATAGCTTGGGACTGCTTGGGACCGTTGTTCTGGTACTGAGTGAGCCAAAAATAATAATGATTTTCTTCGGGACCCAGTGGTCTTAGAGTTACCTCTATGCTAATAGTACGTTCAGACTACAGAGTTATAACATGTTATAGCGCTATCTTGATGGTGGTTTCTGTGTTGCAATTAGTTGACAACCGTTATAACATGTTATAACCATAACTCTGTAGTCTGAACGTACTATAAGAATACTATTTTGCAGAAAACACTTATCACAGACAAACAGACATAACACTAGCAAGTTGTTCATCGAACAAGCATTTAACGGTCAATTTAAAAGTATCGTAGTTGGTAGTACCGCCACCTGTGGCGCGCATAGTTAATTCCCTTGCGTTTGACGTTTACACACTACCGCCATCTGTTCAGCGTACACGGATACGAATTTTGTTCATTTAAAACAGAAATATAAATGTTTATTCTCTAAACATATGAATTATTCAAAGTAAATGAAAGCATGTTTAAAACTAAAATATTTATGTTTGAATTAAATTCAAAAGCATGTTTATTTCAACAATATAGGATTTGGGCAAACGGTTTTTAGCGTGTCATGCCTTTTTATTTCCTTCTTGTAACATTCAGAAAAAAGTTGCTCCAGCTTTGCTCAACCTCAACAGAAAACGGCCATCCATTCCGAATCCATACCGGATCCTCCTCCGACACCGAACATAGAAAGAAACCGGTATGAGGACCAGTGGCAGGAAGCAAGGCAGAAAAGGCAAAACGACGCCAATAACACAAATTTGCACCAGTTCCACTGAACTGGAATCCCCGGACACCCACCCCGACGGGTCCTCGCATCCTGGACCAGAACCCCAATTCCCACAGGTCACCCTTAATCGCACCCAAAAAAAGAGCAGGAATTTAGATGCCCTGTCCGAAGATCTTATTTTATTATTTCTGTGCAAACTGTTTTATTTTGCTTTACCCTGCACTCAAATACTAAAATAATTTCAAAATATATATGTTTATTTTAAACATGAGAAGCATGTTTAAAATAAACATATTTATTATTGTTCGCATAGCTGTCAAACCAAACAAAAACAAATACGTTTATTTTCAACACGAATATTTTTGAAATAAACGTAACATTATTTTTATTTTAAACATTGATTTCACATGACTTCAAACATGGAATACGTTTGAAATCAACCTAATTTATGTTTGTGGCCAGAACAAACTGAGTTTACGTTTGAATTTACCTCAAATATTTTTGTTTCGACGATAGTTTTTTCTGCGTGTACTACCCACCACAGTGTACTCAATAGATGGCGGTAATGCTTTTGCGACGATGTTTTACAGTGAGAAATATTCAACGTGTTATGTCTGTTTGTCTGGGCACTTATTTTCAATATAACCACGCCTATTACCGTTAAATCTGAATTCAGTATAGTTGCCCTACACACTTAAATTTTTTCGCCGAGATTCCAACAGCCGAGTAGTTCTGCAATTTATTTTGCTGAGATTCAGTAAAACAATTTCCGAGACTCAGCTAACAAATAACTATTTGCAGAAATATCAGCTAACAAACAGATATTTTGCAGAGATATCAGCAAAAGTAAATGCCGAGGTAATCGGCTGTTGGAGATTTTACCGAGCTAGATTAAGTGTGTAATAAAAAATAACCATAAACGAACGATAACCCAAATCATTGAAATATTCCTCAAATGGTTTGAATGATACCCAGAACACGTCGTTAAGCAAATTAACCATACAATTTTTATTAGGGTGACTATGTTAACAAATTTACTATGATTCTGGCAAAACTGCTATGCTTGCTGAAGATGCATAGTAAGTTTGATTGAAATAATAGTATAAAATTAAATGAAATTGTTTTCTGCAAAAATCTATTGGTGAAGGTATTTAATGTAAATCTGCAATATAGTACTTTTTTTCCAATTGATTTTGTTTCAGTGCACTATGTATACTGATGGACCCCTCGGTCATCGGTTTTGACAGCTTCCACAGTAGAAGCTTCGAAGCGAAGTCAACAAACAGAAAATGATTTTTGATGTTTTCTTTCCAATCGTTCTGTAAATGCCGGTTCGATTTTTGGTGAAATTGCAACAAGTATCAAAGTGTTTAGTGGCTTGAAACGGTGATAAGTGGTTCCTTAGTAACCGGAAGTGAAAACAGTGCCAGAGAAATCATGCCAACGATCATCGCAGTGGATGTTTCGCTGTCGATGACGCGGCCAGTTCCGGTGGCGGCTTCCGGAGCTGGCCCGTGTGCTGAGGACGGGCTAACCTACCATCAGTTGGCCGTGCAAGGGGTCCATAGCATTCTGGACTATCTAGCCAAGCATTCGCGGTTGGAATTTGTGTCGCTGGTAAGTAATTTATTGTTACACATAAAATTCATAAAAAATCGGCGCTTCGCGTTTGTTTTGATTGAAGATGCTGTCTGTTTAGAAAACTACAGTGTTGTCAGTTGTACAACTTCGATTGAGCTTTCAAATTGCAGAATCCATTCATCCTTTAAAAAGGGCTTGTGCCAAGCAGCTATTTACTGAACACGCGTTTCGAAACCAAAATGAATATAAAATTTTAAAGCAGTCTGTTAATGTTTCCATTGATTCTCTGAACCAAAACGTTAAATGCCATAATTAGAACGTCATAATCGAAGGCTCTCGCGTAACATTAGAAAAGGGCATATCATTTCTGCTAAGGCCTATGAGCACGAACCGAAATACGCACGTAATCCAACATCATCAGGTAGGGTAAATTCAAGTACTAGAAAGTTTTGTTCACAAAAGTTACGCTAGACGTGTTGGGTTCAACTTAAATCAAGAACAATGCATACGGTCCAAAGTAACATTTATCGATTCTCTTCATCCACTTCCTCTTTCGTTAATAACATGGGTATTGCATCGCTATACAAATAAATACACTATAAACGAACTGTATCCCGGATAGGTAAACTATCTCACAAATGGTTTGGATGATACCCCGAACCAGACATGGAAAATCATTTACATTCATTTCATGCATTCATTTACATTCATTTGCCTCTAACTTTTTTCATCAACAGCATTCCGCAAAATGATGTATACACAGCAAAAAAAGTTGTTGAATATTACATCGAAACTGCTGCAACCAGGTCAATCCATCGGTTGTGTAAAATCACATTATACGATGTACATCGATTTTGCGAACAAAATTACATCCATTGATGTAATATTGTATCTGCGTTTTGCTATTACATGATTATTTCATGCATCAGCTTGAATTACGTTGATCGATATTACATTTTTTTTGCTGTGTAGAGCTTCAGTAGGTTTTGTTATTAGCTACAACTTTTGCCCATAGTCCAACTCTGTATCTCTTATGTATCACGAATTAGAGCGGGCAGAACTTGTTACTGTTTTTCAGTGAATATAAAATACATTCACTGAAAAACAGTAGTGGATTCTGTTCGCTATGGTTCGTCATGCATAAGAGATACGGATTTGAGTTGTTAACAAAAGTTGTAGTTAATAACAAAACCTACAGTACCATCAAATATAATTTTGCGGAATTCTGTTGATGAAAAAAGTAAGGGACAAATGAATGTAAATGAATGCAAATGATTTTCCATGCCTGCCCCGTTAAGCTATCTTTTATGGTTATTTTGATTAGGGTAAGCACTTGCCTAATATATTTGTTATTGTTATTTTGCTTAACCACGTATTCATTGTATCATCAAAACCATTAGGCAAATCCAATATAAACTAAGCGATCGTTTCAACCTCTGGTGGTGAATAATCTTTTGAAGAGTGATGAGGGCTGAAATTTTCGCCGTGAAGCATCGGAAGAGGAAAATGTGTTTACCTTTTATGATTAATGTATCCATCGCAGGTGCTTGTAATCATCATACACATGGAATATTTTATTTTCTGTATCGATTTTGGAGTAATCCGGCTGGTGCTTCCCCATATTTTTGTTAAGAAAAGTGAAGATTTATAAAACTACCCCAGGTGTTATGATCTTGCGGATTTTTAATGTGGTGTTATTTGAGCTGTAAAACCGTTCAAATGTGTGAAAAATAATAAAATAAGACCCCTCCCAATAGAAATATGCAAGATACGCATAACAATATGTTTTAATTTAAGATGTAACGTATGACGTTTCCTCTCATAATCGCCTAGCGCACTCTACATTGGTGGTGCACAGAAACAGCCTTTTGTGAAATAGGGCTATTATTTGATTTATCGTTCGTTTAGTGTATTTTCCCAACAAACATTGGATGTAGAATAAGAGTTTCTTCAGTTAAAAATTTGCTTATTCAGCCTTTATTCAGAGCAACCATAACGGTCGTTGTCATTTGCGCGACTATTTTAACAGCGCACAGCGCTCTCATTTTAGTTTAGTCACTCTTCTCCACACCGGTCGCTGCTATCTCGGTTATCAATTTACTCGCCGTAGTCCGTACCGGTAGTGAGTATTTTGACATTTCTACGAACAGTAATCTTTCTCCCGCGCTGCTATCAACAATCAATACGAAACTAACGATTTTAAATTGGATCACCACTTTAGTAGCCTATTGGTCCCAAGCAAACGATTAACGTACCCTATTCGAGTCGAAATTCTAGTACTACGCAATGTTTGTTTTGATTCGCTATGAAAGTTTGACAGATAAAATGAGGGGTTATTGGTTTTTCCTATGTTTCGAGGGGTGAATTGTTTAGCTTGGGACCGAAGAGAGTACCAGAGCTGAGCCAAAAAGTTGAGCACGTTATTTCGGGACCTTCTAGTCTTAGAGTTACCTCTATGCTGCTATCGCGCTGCTAAATTTGGTATCGCGCTTCTCACCGAGAAGCCGACTGCTATTTTAGTTACTCGTATGGCAACCCCCGATACGGTAGCTGCGCTATGATGAGGGCTGCTAAAATGAGTTTAGCAGCGTACCGTTACGGTTGCTCTCAGCACAAATTATTTGTTGGGTTATTAGGGAATTTATCTTGCTATTAGGGTTTTTATCTTATACCCCGTTCAGCGTATATCACGTGTTATACGCTGTCTTGCAATGAGCACTCATACATCTAGTTTTCACTGGAAATCCTATGTATGAGTGCTCATTGCAAGACAGCCTATATTACGTGATATAGGCTGTAATGTGAACGGGGTATTACCAACAATCAATACGAAACTAACGATTTTAAATTGGCTCACTACTTGACTAAAGGGTGTTCACGATGAAATTGCCACACACAAAATTGATTCGCAAAATTCGAGTTTTCATCCGATTGCCATCAAATTTTCAGGGATTGAGAAATAACTATTAAACTTCATTTTACCATTTTACTCGTATTTTATTTACAGTCCATACGCAAATGCCCGCACCTTGGCCTTAACCCCGGCCATAAGATTCTGCACAACCTGTGAATCAACCGTTTTTTGCATGTAAACCCATACTTTCTTCAGTTCCTCGACTGTCTTCACTACCTTAGGTCGTTTAAGAAGGTGCTGCTTCATAATCGCCCAGTACTTCTCGATGGGGCGGAGCTCCGGAGTGTTGGGAGGGTTGAACATTTTCGGCACGAAATTGACCTTATTGTCCGCATACCACTTCAGCACGTCCTTGGAGTAGTGGCATGAGGCCAAATCCGGCCAGAAGATTGTTGGGACGTTGTGGGCCTTCAGGAGAGGAAGCAGCCGCTTCTGGAGGCACTCTTTTATGTACACCTGTCCGTTCATCGTGTCCTGGGTCACGAAAGGTGCACTCCGCTCCCCGCACGTGCAGATGGCTTGCCAAACCAGGAATTTCTTCGCAAATTTGGACATCTTCTGAGTGCGGACATGCTCCGGAACGCTGAACTTATACTTGGCCGTGAAAAACAGGTTGCCGGGGATCTGTTTGAAGTCGGCCTTCACATATGTTTCGTCGTCCATGATGAAGCATTCAACTTTCGTCAGCATGTTGAGGTACAACTTCCTGGCACGGGTTTTGGCGGACTTGTTCTGCTTCTCGTCGCGATTAGGGGCCTTTTGTACCTTGAACGTTCGAAGCCCAGCCTTAGTTTTGGCCTTCTGGACAAAACTTCGGCTTAGGTGCAGCTTCTTAGCCACATCCCTAACGGAGCCCTAATAAAAAATAACCATAAACGAACGATAACCCAAATCATTGAACTATTCCATAAATGGTTTGGATGATACCCAGAACACGTCGTTAAGCAAATTAACCATACAATTTTTATTAAGGAGGCGTTCGGATTTCGGTTGAAGGCCCCAACTACGCGGTTGTGATTTTTGGTGTTGTACGGAATACTTTTTCCTTCACTTCTGGGCTTCCGATCGGTGGTCAACCGTTCCTCGAACCGCTTAATCACTCGCGACACCGTGGAATTCGCGATTCCCAACGTTTTAGCGATGGAACGATGCGAGAGATCCTTGTTCTCGTGATGAATGCGCAAGACTTTCGACTCCATTTCCGCGAGTTTTGATCACAGGACTTTAAAACTTGCAGGATGTAAATAATGCACTATGAACTAAATCCACCCAAATTTTCATTAAATTCTACTCAACGGTTAAAAAGTTAGAGCAATTTCATAGTGTGGCAATTTCATCGTGGACACCCTTTAGCCTATTGGTCCCAAGAAAACGATTAACGTATCCCATTCTAGTCAAAATTCTAGTACTACACAATGTTTGTTTTGATTCGCTATGAAAGTTTGACAGATAAAATGAGGGGTTAGTGGATTTTCCTATGTTTCGAGGGGTGAATCGATTAGCTTGGGACCGAAGAGAGTACCAGAGCTGAGCCAAAAAGTTGAGCTCGTTTCTTCGGGACCTTCTGGTCTTAGAGTTACCTCTATGGTATTACCATAGAGGTAACTCTAAGACCACTGGGTCCCGAAGAAAATCATTATTATTTTTGGCTCACTCAGTACCAGAACAACGGTCCCAAGCAGTCCCAAGCTATTTCACTCACCCCTGCATGTTCTGCATGAATCCACACACCCCTGATGTTATCTGTCAAACTTTCACAGCGAATCAAAACAAACATAGTGTAGTAATAGAATTTCAACTAGAATAGGGTACGTTAATCGTTTGCTTGGGACCAATAGGCTACTAAAGTGGTGAGCCAATTTAAAATCGTTAGTTTCGTATTGATTGTTGGTATTACTATTTATCGTGGACCCCCGTTAATCTGAACAACAGTTTAGGATAGCCTTATTTACTGTTTTGTTTTGATTCTGCGTTCCGTTTCACATCGTTCCATTTGCTTTCCTCCATCCAGCTTTCCATGCTCGGTAATGGCGGCCTGTTTGTATGAATAAATTTATTCTTCACTGTGCTTTTTGACACTATCTGGATGTTCGGATTATGACCCCTCCCTTTCCCTCTCCCAGGAACAGAAGAAATGGAACAACATACGCCGTCCAGTTAGTGTCAAAAAGCACAGTGAAGGATACATTTATTCATACAAACAGGCCGCCATTACCTAGCATGGAAAGCTGGATAGCTGAGAGGAAGAGGAGACACCAATTTTCTATCAAACGCGAACAAGCGTCTGATTGGTCGGGCGAACGTATGGAAACGCGAGAATTTTTACAACAGGGAATCTATTTTCTTGTATTTTGACAATCAACTGCGTCGCCCATAATGAAATTGTTTTTGCACGGTCGTTTCCGCGAGAGAAGAAGAACACGTCACAGACAAAAAGAAGCCAGTTTTCTCCTCTTCCTCTTAGCTCGATAAGAGATTAGTGACGTTTAACGCACGCACACTAGCGGGTGCATCGCCATGTTGTTTATTATTTTCCTCTGGCTAATAGTACGTTCAGACTACAGAGTTATAACATGTTATAGCGCTATCTTGATGATGGTTTCTGTGTTGCAATTATTTGACAACCGTTATAACATGTTATAACTGCTCAGTCTGGCCAGCGTTTAACCTAAAACATGTATGAACTTAGATCTGTCAAAATGTGCTTGACAGTGATTTGTTATGTATTTTCCTCGGGTATTCACTAAACTGATAAAATTCCAAAGATTGTTTTTATGTGTCCCACACATGAATTTTTGCAATGTGATATCTATGTGTCGGACACATACTGAATATGTGTACACATAAAAGCCATGTGTAACCACGCATACTATTCATTTGACTCACAAATTTCATGTGTGCTTCTGTTTATGTGTGGTCACATGAAAATCATGTGGAATTTTACATGGAAATTCGTCAAAAAAAATGTGTGGAATTCTATTAGTGTAAACGCTCTCACATATCGCACCAATACAACCGGACGTGAAAATCTCTATTCAGGGTGGCCAGATTATTTTGTTCATTATCGGTAGCTTCTCAATATTAATATCGGTAGTAATCGGTAGGCCGTCTTAAGAAGGCTTCCCGAAACTTAAAACCTTTGTGAGCGAGGGAAGGATGAAAACAAATCACGCTTAATTTTGAACTTTCGAGCCGAGCCATCAGTTCTTCAACCTCACACATTGTATTGTCTAATCTAGAGTCGGTGTATAATGAGTCACGCCAAGAGAGCAGTCAAGTCTACCTATTGAACTATTAAACCGGCTACCAATCGTGGAAAGTTAACAAACATTACGATGCTATGAAAGGTCTACACACAGCAAAAAAATAAATTTTATATCACATCGAAGTGGATGAACTTCAATCGTGTCAAAAATACACCATATATTATAATAAATGTAATATTGATTTTTTTTTTTGCTGCGAAGGTATTGCAATACAATACAAACTATAATGGAAGAAATGATCATAAACACGCAGTGAGCATCAAATTGTCATGGGATACGTTTGGTAATGATCAGTAATGAGAATTTCTACTATTTTTTGTTAAGATAATTTGACAAAATCCAAGGGGTAAGTCACTCAACATATTGTGCCGAAATTATATTCGGCACAGCTTGGGCACAATTTCGTAGGCATTGGATTGTTGTAACTAAAATGGGAGCACTTGAAGTTGTTCACAACATTACATGCTGTTTGACTGCATATTCAGGAACATCCTCTAATTGAATATACCAGAGGAACTCAGACCAGCAGCTCACTTATAGATCTAAATACGAAATGTAGGTTCAAGAGTGAGCTCAAGACGAAGGGTCAGTTAATAATGCTGCAACTCACACAAAACAAACTACAGAAGTCAATTCATCATCCTCTATAGACGGTCACCAGCAATTTTCCCGACTTGTTCCAGCCGCTGATAGACTGTTGCTTTTCACAAAACGACAGACTAGGTTTCTGGTGTACCTTTGAGGACATTATAATACTCTAAAACACAGGACTTTTACTATTATATGAACACAACACAAACAAATTTCGCATACCCGCCACTTCCCGCGTCATCCTCAATCCGATTTTTTCCTTGCGATTTCAAACCAAAACATTCCAGGTGTCATGACCGGCACAATTGGCACACCTGTGGCACACATGCGGTACACTTTTAAAAAAGATGACCCAATATTGGTGTGCGGGGTGACCTGCCTCTTTACAAAATCACTGATAAAAGGATTTACTACAAGGGGCGGGATGCACTGTGAAATCTGCCTACTGATTGTCCATCCGCGATACGTAAATAGATAACGCGCAGTGAATTTGCAATTTCTTTCATTCTCCCGTTTGTTAAATGGTTATACGAGTGTGACGTCCAACGCCGTCATTCATTTAAACAGCCGAAGAACGAAAGAGACGACAAATTCAGTGGGCCTCACCTGTGTACGCTCATTGATTTTCCATATGTGAATTTGGTTAAAAACATCAACAAACCGTCGCTGCTTATGGCTTGTTGTCGTTTGGAACCAGTTATGCGAGGTAGGCGACGATTGTTCTTATTTGACAGTCGCCTCCCCCCTCCCCTTTTTACTACAGCCACTATTTTTTTCTCGCTAGAAGTCATTTGAAGTTGATGTAAAAGTTCCCTGTTGCCAAGTGAACATAAAGAGAATCTTTCGAAAACCATGATGCGAGGTCAATTTTTTTTTTCTCTTGGCGTGACTCATTATACACCGACTCTAGTCTAATTATAACAAGTAAGTGTGAGTAGGACGAACGGAATACGGAACCAAAAAAGGGAGAAACAGAAAATAAAATCTCCGCAAGGAGACAGACAGAGAAAGTTGATTAAACGTAAAAAAAAACTAATCCGTTTGTATTGAAGTTGCAAAACGCATCGCGTTCGATCAAATTGACTGACTACACGGAAAACCAAAACATAGGTATTGAACATTTTTCAAGATTACTTAAAATCTGTGATTCTCGGTAGGAAAAGTGAAAAATCGGTAGTTTTGAACCTTTCGTCTGTGAATCGGTAAGCATCCCGAAAATCGGTAGGACTACCGATAAATCGGTAGGTATGGCCACCCTGTCTCTATTCCATGTGCTACACACTTAGTTTTTTCTACCGAGCACGACTGTGTAAATCTCGGCAAACTTTTTTTTGCCGAGATTTGCACAGCCGAGCTCGGTAGAAAAAACTAATAGTACGTTCAGACTACAGAGTTATAACATGTTATAGCGCTATCTTGATGGTGGTTTCTGTGTTGCAATTATTTGACAACCGTTATAACATGTTATAACTCTCCAGTCTGTACAGCGTTTAAGTGGGTAGATGACGTGTTAGAGCAATTTTATGTTTGCACGGCGTGCAGATTAGCTGGGTTCAAACTAAAAAGTGTTCACATTAGGTCGTATTCTTTAAAGGCCTTTTTTTACTTTTCCCGTAAGAAAAGCACGGGAAAGTAAAGTCAACTCTTTTTATTCATACGGCCCATTAAGAGCGATCAGATTCCACGATACTTTTTAATAGGGGACCTCATTCGAAACGAAGCATTTTTTAAAAGAAAAAGTTTGTCGTTGACCCTGACATCGAAGTTGGATTCTACAAATAATTAAACGTCGCTGTTTCGGCAACACTGCTCGTCGCTGTCTGCCGTTGCTGTTTACCGACAGCTGTCAAATTTTGCTGTTTCTTTTTCGGGTTTTCTCCGCACACACGCGCGCGCCCTTTTGACAGTTTGCCTCGCGTTTTCGTTCGATTCTGACAGGCAGCTGATTCAGATTTTTTCGCTCTCGCGTTGGCAGCACGCCAAGATCGGTCGTCAGGATCCCATAAAATCGCAGAAGCAGAGAATCTCGCGGACGTTTTTCGTTTGAGTTCGGTGTTCGATTTTACGTACGTTGTTCCGGGGGTACCGTTCGATTCGTGTCCGTACGGCACCGGGAAGGTTTCAGCACACTATTCTGGCTAGAGCCCTGGTGAACCCAAACCCGATGTTGACACGTGTTTGAGGTTAGGATTCTCTTTCTTCGGGTTGGGAAGAGAAGAAAAAAAAAGGTCGAACAAACGCAGCAGGATCGAAAATAAGAACGTAAAAGGAGCGTTCGCGTGGTTATATAAAAAGTATCTGGACGAGCGGAAGCGGAAAGGCATCGCGTGACGCTTTACGAAATGGCAACCGGAGAACGGATACTGACGGTCGCCCTGCGTACCAACTACGACATTCACCGGCAGGAGGAGGCCGAGGAGAAGTGGGAATGTTTGCTATACTTGCACGATACCAAACCGATTGACCCGGAGTGTCCTCCGACGAAGGCGGAGTTGGAAGCTGCAGGACTTTTGCCAGCCCAGCAGGACCGTCAGAAAACGCCTGAGGAACAAGGGAAAGAGAAGCCGGGAAGATTGTTCGATAAATTGTTCAAGCTCGATGTCGATTATCTGAAGAGCCTGGATCCGAAGGATTGGAAGAATCAGGATCACTATGCCGTGCTTGGGCTGAAGGATATGAGGTATGTAGCTCTGTTTGTCGTCCATTGAACTGCAGGGTGTTGAATTGACGATGGGGTTTTTTTTTTCAGATTCGAAGCTACGGAGGACGACATAAAGAGAGCGTACCGTAAGATTGTGCTGAAGCACCATCCGGATAAACGAAAAGGCCAAGGGCAGGATGTGAAAGCGGATGAGGATTACTTCCATTGCATCACGATGGCCTACGAAACTTTGGGAACTTTGAAAAATCGTCGTGCTTTCGATTCTGTGGATCCGGAATTTGACGATGCGCTGCCAACGCAGAGCGAAGTTAAAAAGGATTTCTTCGAAGCGTTGAGAGATGTTTTCAAGAAGAATTCCCGCTGGAGTGAGTCCAGAAAGGCTGTTCCGCAGCTTGGCGATGAGAATACGGAGCGATCAAAGGTGGAAGACTTTTACGATTTTTGGTATAACTTTTCGAGTTGGAGAGAATTTAGCTATTTGGACGAAGAGGACAAGGACAAGGGACAGGACCGTGACGAGCGGCGTTGGATCGAGAAGCAGAACAAGGCGATCAGATTGCAGCGCAAGAAGGAGGAATCCGCAAGAATCCGTACTTTGGTTGATTTGTCTTACAACAACGATCCACGGGTAGTCAAGTTCAAGAAGGAGGACAAGGACCGAAAGTTGGCAGCTAAGCGGGCAAAGCAGGATGCATACCAGGCCCAGAAGGCAGAGGAAGACCGACTAGCGAAGGAGGCAGCGTTGGCAAAACAGAAGGCAGCTGAGGCAGAACAGAAACGCATCGAAAACATTCAAATCGAGAAGGAAAAGATGAAGCGTGCCTTAAAGAAGGAACGAAAGATCCTTCGGGATGCTGCCAAGGCAAAGGATTACTTCACAAGTGACGACAAGGAACGATTGAAGCATCTGGAAGGCGTGGAGAAGCTCTGCGAAACGTTGAAGCTGCCAGAGCTACAGGAGTTCAACAAGGAGCTTGCTTCAGGTGGCCGCAATGTCTTCGTCAAGGCTCTCGAAGAGCTGGAAAAGAAATTGGAGGAGGAACGTCGTGCTCAATCGTCTCAGAGCCATTCGATTCCGAACAATGCCGGCCTGAAAATTGTTGACCGTAAGGCCCTTTGGAGCCACGATAATGTCCAGCTGTTAATCAAGGCCGTAAATCTTTTCCCGGCCGGAACCATCTCCCGCTGGGAGGTCATTGCAAATTATCTCAACCAGCACGGAACCAATTTGGGCGATATGAAATTCTACGCTAAGGACATCCTGAACAAGGCCAAGGAACTGCAGAGCGGTGACTTCTCCAAGAGCGATCTCAAAACGGTCGTCAATCAGCAAGCTTACGAATCGTTCGAAAAAGCTAGGAAGGACCTGAAAAAGGTAGACAAGGCCGATATCAGTCAAAAGGACGATGAAGCCCCAGCGAAAACGAACGGAACCCAAGAGGTAAAGATGAATGGTATTCATGAGCCGTCCGAGGAAAAGGAGAACATCAGCAAACCACAAAAACCGGCCAAGAAAGAAGCTCAACCGGTGAAGGCAAAGGAAAGGGCATCACCTGCGCCTGCGCCAGCGCCAGCACCAGAGGTAGCCCCTGTTCTGGAGTCCGCACCAGCAGCCAAGGAGAGCAAGAAGGACAAAAAGGAGAACAAAGTGTGGAGCAAGGAGGAACAGGCGCTCCTGGAGCAGGCTATGAAGACTTACTCGGTTTCCACTCCGGATCGGTGGGATCGGATAGCGGAGTGCATCCCGAACAGGACGAAGAAGGATTGCCTGCGACGAGTCAAGGAGCTGGTCGATTTGGTCAATGCGAAGAAGGAAGCCCAACAGAGTGTTGCCGGCAAATAGTAGAAGTGAGCGAGCGACCGAGCAGGGAACGCGAGAGCGAAGACCAGCTAATTAACTGCTCCGGGGCTAAACCTCATCGATTTGATTCATACTATTACTACAAAACATCTCTGCGATTATTATCTTACGTTTTAGGTCTTGTAAATAATGTCTCTTAACAGGAAAAATTATTAAAAAGTGCTAGGAAGAACACTGAAATCCGTTTTGTGTGCATTGTGATGGTTGATGACACTTGCCCGTTATGAAGTTGGATTTGCCTGGGAATTTTTTAGTAATTAAGACTGTATTATGGGTCACCCTTTAACACGCAGAACTGACTGACATATACTCCCTTATTCTCTATTCCGTTCGAAACGGCTAGAATAAAGGTCAAGGAAATAAGAACAAATCTAGACTCAATTATTTGAATCAACTCGGGAGGGTTGTTACAGTTAATTTTGATGTAAAATATCTCAGACATGTAATTGCCCTTGCTCGATCAGACCGCTACAATGCGTCTGGCCTTTGTTCGGGAGGAGCGTTGTCGTTCTGCAGCAGAACTATTAATAGTTAAGTGGATGAAGATCCCTAAAGACTTCAAGGTCGCACCAATCTAGAAGTCTGTTGGGAGCTTCCTCCATTTAACTGACCGTTGAGGGTGGTGTACCGATGTTTTCTTTGGATCAGCGCTTTCACAGGTCGTTTCGCTGTGTAGTCTGGAGATGGGATAGGCGATTTATGGGAATCCTCTGAGTAGCCTGGCTCGGGACCCCAGAAGGATGGTTCGCTCAGCAGAAAATGTGCAAAAGAGAGCACGGAAAGATTTTCAAGTTGGACTTTTAAAACTGTATATGTATGGGATCAATATTAGGGACATTAACCCTGTGGTGATGGAAATCGGCTTATTGCACTTTAATTATTGAATTTATTTGGCTGTTCAGCAAACACTTCTTGTTTCGTCACGTTACAAGTTTCAATGATGTATTTTTCTCTGTAGTAGGGCAGAGCGCCGGCAGCAAATCAACAACTTCGTGATTGTGACGACCAAGGGGGTGACAGCGCCACATCTTCATTTTCATGATTTTCAATTCAGAACAGTTTTCCGAAAAATATAAAAATCTGATGTCCTGTGACCCACCTACGGACAGCCCGCGACCCACACCTTGTCTTGTGGATACTCTGAATTAGCCTACCAAATTTTCAGAACTTGCAGTCTTGCGGAGTCCGGACCTCTGAACTTCTTCTTCTCTTCATTTGTTTATTATAGAGACTTTCAGCTCTTAGCTGGTTCTTCTCCAGGATTGTAGAACAATCAATTCTACCCTGTAAACTATCCGCGATGAGCAGGGCCCACGAAGTGTCTCTCCGAGTACGTAGAAGCTCCAGATCAATCAGTTGACATCGACTTTCATAACTGGGTAGACGAAAAGGGTTTCTCCAAGGCAGCTTCCTCAGAGCAAATCGAAGAAATCGACGCTGAACGGACTCAACTCTTTCAGCAACATTGTTATAGCTTGGGTTCCATACTGCAGAGCAATGTGTTGCTTATACGTTAACTGGGAATCCAGAATAACTCCCAGGTCTTTTACGTGGTTGACACAGCTGATAGTGTTGTTTCCTGAAGTAAATAGTTGAACATGATCGTTTCCTTCTTGCGAGAGAAGGTGATAACTAAACACTTCGCGGGGTTGACCTCCATTCGGTTTAAGTTGCACCAGTTAGCAAACGCTTTGAGCTGGCATTGGAGGAAGTGACAGTCATCGATAGAACGGATCCGGATATAGATTTTAAGATCATCTGCAAACGATAGACGAGGGCCTTCGAGGACCAGATTCACGTCGTTAAAGTACAACAGGAAAATCAACGGGCCTAGGTGACTTCCTTGAGGTATCCCTGACGTGGCTGGGTAAGTAGTAGACTGACATTCGCCAACGGTTACCATCAGCTGGCGATCACTGAGATAAGAGCGAAATCATCGCAGGAGGTTGCCATTTACCTCAAGTCTATCTAACTTCGCAATCGCAATTGCATGATTCAGTTTATCGAATGCAGCCGACAATTCGGTGTTAATTACGTCTGTTTGAGCCCGTTCTGTCATGCTTTCCGTGACATATGATGTCAGACAAAGTAGATTAGTGGTAGTAGAACGACCGGAAACGAAACCGTGTTGATCACTACTTAGATACTGCTTACAATGAGAGAGCAGGGGCTCCATGATGACTAACTCGAATATCTTCGAAACTGAGCTCAACGATGTGATTCCACGGTAAGTATCCACGCCCCGTTTGTTTCCCTTTTTGTGAACAGGAAACATATGTGCAAATTTCCAACAAGATGGAAATATACCACTCGAGATGGACATGCGGAATAGATGCTGCAACGGTGTCAGCAAGCTGGCGATATGCTTCTTCAGAAATACTGATGGGACACCATCGGGTCCTGGGTTGAAGGACGACTTAAGTTGTTGTGCGGCAGTGGAAATCATCTCGACGTCGATGTCAATTGCACCGAACGCTTGACCGGAGAGTGGCACATTACTAGCTGCTAGGGTAACGTGGTCGTCGGTTAATATCTCATCAGAGAATACGCTGACAAACTTGTCTGAAAACAAGCGACAGATCTCCTGAGAGGTGGAAGCAACTTCTCCGTTGAACATCATTGACGATGGTAGGCCAGACTCTTTGCGCTGCTCGTTAACGTAATTCCAGAAGAACTTCGGGTGTGACTTGAGTTTACTCTGAATCCCAAGTTGATATCGCGAATAGCATCGATGGCTAACTCGCTTGAACTCATGATTGAGCCTAACGTACTGATGTTTCAGCGACAGCGTACGAAACTTGGTGAATTTCCTTAGTGCCGCTCGCTTGGTCGATTTCAACTTTCGCAATTAACCACTTCATTCGAGCAGATAAAATGACGTTTACTACCACTCGAACTTTGAAATGAAACATTATTTTGAGATTTTTTCTTCTAGAACCTCGAGAAAAGTAGCCAACATTTGTGCGTTTCATAAAAAAATAGAAATTAGTTGGTCCAGTTTTGTGAAATCGCTGGTAGAAAGTCACGCCAAAACTGCTTGACAAAGTGGTCAATTGGCTCGTCTGCCAAGGAAGGTGTTACGTATACGTTTGTTGGAAGCGAATCATTTCGAGTTCGGATTAAGTCGAAGCAACTGTAATCGAAATATTTCACGCGTAAACACAAGTGAGAGAAGAACAGGACTGTCATGACACACACCCGCTGGAAAACGTCGCACATACTAGGAATTTGCTTGGTGGATGAAGTCCCTCATGCACATCAACAGCAGGAAGATTTCCGGTCAGCAGAAGGTAATTTTTCGTTGGTGAGTGAGTCGCTCGCACCGAGCGCAGTTAACGAAAAACCAGATTGACTGGTTGAAAGAAGTGCGTGGCGTTAAATTGTTCGGTGGAGAAGTGCGGTTTCTCGATTCTCTACGACGGGAGTGCGATTGCCAATGCGCGTTTGATCCGTCGACATTGCACGTTTTCCCAGTGACATTTTGCACGGTGAGAAGAATTCCACCTGAACGACGTCAGTGTGGTTGGTTGTCCAGCAACGTTCGTCCGGCACGGCGAGAACGCATCCCGGGAGGAAAGTTGGTTGCAACAAATCGGAATAGCAAACGATCTGGCGATCTGCGATCTGCTAATTACCGTTCAAACGTAGCACTAACACAGCAACTGCTCAGTGGCTGCTGTCTTCAAATTATAAGGTAACGAAAACCATTCAGTCATTCGCCTTTCAACTAACGTGTTTTCCTGTGGAATAGAGCCAATTGCTGACGCAGAGAAGCGAGGACCAGACCGGATTCAGAGCGAAAGAGGCCCTCCACGGAGGTAAGAAATAACTCGAGGAAATTGCCTTCAGACAAGTAAACTAGCCCACTTTTCTAGGGTTCTTTTTTCTACCTTGGCTTGAACAAAGCACCAATACCCAGGCGAGTGCTTTCAGGGTCTTAGTCCCGCGACGTTGGCGTGTCGTGCGAGACCCACTTCGGAGCTGTTTCGGCGATAGGTCATCATAGGAGTCGTCGAGAATAGATCAAGGCAAGAGAACGGCGCGGTGCTGTGTGTTATGTGTACGGCAACGAAGATGGTGCCCCGCACCGAGAAGAAGAAGATATGTATGTGAGTAATATCGATAAGCTAGAAAATTAGTAGAGAAAAAGGAAGAAGGATAGGGAGAGGAAGGTGGCAGGAAGCGTGAATTAGGAGAAGGAATGTGGGAGATTGGGTGCGAATAAAACAATGCTAAACTAACATTCGGCCCCATTTTGTTTTGTTGGTGCACTTGCCCATTAGTGTTCTGTTTTGTGTGTCCTATGGTAGCTCAGCTCTACCGCTACCGGGGAACTTGCAACAAAGGTGTGACCCTTTTCGGTGAACTGACATACGCCAAGACATGTGAAAAAGTTTGCGCAGCGGTTTCAACGTTATCAGGGTCCAGGACGCTTCCCCAGTCTATGCTAGACAGCACGTCGATGATACTACCAACAATCAATTACTAAACTAACGATTTTAAATTGGCTCATTACTTGACTAACCTATTGGTCCCAAGCAAATCGACTAACGTACCCCATTACCTCTATGATACTACCATAGAGGTAACTCTAAGACCAGAAGGTCCCGAAGAAATGTGCACAACTTTTTGGCTCAGCTCTGGTACTATCTTCGGTCCCAAGTTAATCGATTCACCCCTCGAAACATAGGAAAATCCAATAACCCCTCATTTTATCTGTCAAACTTTCATAGCGAATCAAAACAAACATTGTGTAATACTAGAATTTTGACTAGAATGGGGTACGTTAATCGATTTGCTTGGGACCAATAGGCTAGTCAAGTAGTGAGCCAATTTCAAATCGATAGTTTCGTATTGATTGTTGATACTACCACAGACAAACAGACGTAACTCTTTGAAAAACTTGTTCTTGAAAACATAGTATCTCAAAACATATAACCTCAGTAACGACATCTCTCTGGCTTCTCGCGGAAAACAAGCTTGCTTGCTAACTCGTAAACAATATTGCATAAAAGTTCTATAGAATGTATAGAAACGTCAAAGTGATCTGATGCCAGCGCTGCGGCGAGTAGTTCGCGGAACTGATAATATTCAAATCAACCGTTAAATGCATGAACGAAGATACACAATGAAGAGTTACGTCTGTTTGTCTGTGATACTACTATGATCAGCTTTCCGAAAACCGTATGACACGTATGTGGAAATATCTTCAAAATCCCGAACGTGACTATCTTGGACAGTGAAAACCAAAGGAGGATGATGAGGAACTTGCTTTAGTAGTGGACAAGGTGCCGTGGAGATAACTGGAGCAGTGTCATGAGCGCTAACGAAACAGAGGTTTAAGCTTCGATTGTTCGCGTTAACTACGTCATTGATTTGAGATAGCGTCGCTGTACCATAGCTACCGAGAAGGCTAACTGATCCTGTTTGAAATACAGAGCGTACAGGGTTTCGATATAGAAAGCCACTGTGAGATGGTTTCCACGAAACACCAGCTAGATTGAAGTCACCCAGAACAATTATCTCATCAACTGGAGTTGCAGTTTCCATAGGTTGCGATAAGTTCGTTGTCATGAACACGGTCAGGAGCAATGTACACCGCACATAAGTACAGTGTGCGATCACTCAGTTCAACGGCAACCCATGCTTGTTCCACACAGTCCCACGCGTCATTTTCTAAAGCTCTCGTCTTCAAACCGGAACGGACTGCCACAAGAACACCACTTTCATTAGATTTCCGACTGTTTTTAGGATTTCGGTCGCAGCGAAAGACTTCATACTCGCGTCCAAACGCCTGGCTGGAGAGCGTTCGAGAATCTAGCCAAGTCTCGGTTAGAACGATGATATCATAGCAACGGTCCGATACAGCTAAGCGGTAGTCGTTAATACCAGAATTCATTCCACCGATGTTCTGGTAATAAATGATGACGTCTTGTTTATGACATATGGTAGCACATGGTTGGACGTTATTCCTGGAAATCACGGAAACATCAGGCAGCGAACGAACATTAACATTACCATGCGGATACTCGCCATAGTGAGTGGGTTGGAAGACCCCTTCTCCACATCCAACCACAGGCCCGGAACGACTATGAAGATCGTAGGCGGCAGACGGTAGGACTGGGTCGGAGGGATTGGGGGCTTTCACAATGCTTTCTACGGCGCGTTCCGGGTTCCAAGTAACAGTTGTTGACGAAACACGCCCACGATCGGCGACATCCAGAGTGCTGAAATTTGAACCGACATCAGGCAGCGAAAGTTCAAAAACGTGTTTATACTTGCCTGACATAGCAAGCTGGAAGACCCCCGATCCACATCTAAGCTTAGGGCTGGGACGACATTGAACGCTGGCTGGGATCGGCACTACTGAGTTAGAGGAACCGGGGGCTTCCAAATGCTTTTTACTCTGCGTCCCGGTTGAGAAGTCCTATCATTCGTTCCTACGGTACGTCTATTCGTCTGAAGTTTAGTAACCATAGGATTCACTTCACCATGGCCCAGACAGCTCGTGATAACCTGGGTGCGGGGAAACTCATCACACAATTAATAAAAAAAAAAAAAAAAAAAAATCTGGTGTAAGCTGGACTCGTCTGGACAGTACTCTTTGGTCCTTAAAGTTGTTGGTATCGGACCAGCATTTTGTCTCTCCTTTTATTTTGCGTATCAGGGTCTCGAGTATTAACCCATTCAGTGTCCCATGCCGAAGCAATGATTTTTTTGATCCAGATTTTTAAATCAGCTGCAGGTACTACCGGTTCCACTGGGGTTTCGGATCTGCCATTCGCTGCCAACTTGTCCGCAGCCTACCTCTGAACTTGTCAAGAAAGAATATCCGAATTATCCCTAGTTTTCTCTAAATTTATACTTGATGACCTTATCACTTCTTCCCAATGAGCGCTGGATTATACTCGGAAGCCCATAATCAATCTAGATCAATCCATCTACCTGTCTAGTGACTGCATTTTATCTCTGTGTTGAATTCCGTAATCATTTGCTTGAACTCCCTTCCCTTTTTTTGTCTTGCCCTAGATCGTGTACTCCTCGCTGTACGAGGTGATCGTGGACTTCACCCGGGACTACGAATCCATCCAGCAGGCGCTGCACAAGATCGAACACTATGACAAAACCAGCCTGGAAAACGTGCTGGTGGCGGTGAACAATATGTCCAAGACCCACTGGGGCAGTCAGAACTACTGCCAGATCATATTCATTACCGACTGTGGGGTCGGTATGGGACCAAGTTCGCTCAAGAACACCATCATCAATCTGCAGAACTACAAAGCGCAGAGCAGCAGCGCCGGGGTGAAGGTTCCGCTGTCGGAGAACCAGTGGGTAGGATTTTCCTACCCGAGCAAGCTGACCTTCATGTGCTTGGGGAACCTGGCCGATACGGCATTCAAATTTGGTATGGTCGTTTGAATAATGCGAAGATTTTTTTGAATGGATTTGATTTTTTGTTTTCAGGATCCAAATTGTATCAGCAATTACTGGACGTCAGCGGTCAGAACGGCCAGATTTTCATTCCCAAGTTGAAGAGTCTCTCGATCGACGACCCCATCGGTGACGATGGAGACGAATTCAACAAGCAGCTCAATCGGAAGTGCGTTCAGGAATTGTTTGAGAACATGTGCGAGCAGAACTACAAGCAATTTGAAGCGACCCTTCGTTGTGGGGGGTATTTTCGGCTGGAAGGGGCCATTATCATCTGGCCGGCACCCTTGGTAAGATCGACATGACTAAAATTTCCGTTCAATTTTCCTAACTTGCCCATAACTTGCAGCCCTACACATCCAAGGACCTGTTCGGGTCGGAGACGACGAAGATCATTGCCAGAAAGTTGGAAGTTTGCGGTTTCATCAGTCTGTCAGACATTGGTTCGCCCATGTCCGTTAGTCGACATCTGATTCTGCCGCGTAGCGACGGCGACAAGCGTATCTCGGCCAAGGATAGTAATCTCAACTTGGAGGAAAAGTTGGAAAGCGATATCAAAGGGTTCTACGCCAAACCGGACGGTAGTGGTGGCGGTGGCGGTGGAGGTGACAATGATGACGACGGACCCTCCGTAGGTGATGCAACACGGGAGTCGGTCTGCGTCCTGTTGCATGGGGCTTTGAAAGTGGAGAATATGGCGGCTTTGGTGCTTCTCAACGATAACTGGTATGGCTTCATTTATTCCTACGCGGATAGCAAGAAGAAGTCCAATCTGATGTTGAACGTGTTGCCTCCGGGGAACGACGTGGTACCGTGGTTGGGTGACTTCCGCAACCTGGGAAACCTGGACGATGCCTTCCCAGGGGAGAATCCAAGTTTCCCAATCAAGGCGGAGAAAAGAAGCTACTCGCAGAACATTGTGGTATGGATCCGGCAGGCAGGTTTGCAGTCGGACATTCAGAAGGTGCTGCGACACGCAAAGAAGCTACCGGAGAAGACGCAGCATTTCTACAAGGAGCTGAACCGAATTCGGCGGGCTGCGCTGTCGCTCGGGTTCGTTGAGCTGCTGGAGGGACTGGCGCACATCTTCGACAGGGAAGCGGCCACTTTGGGTGGCAGTGCCAGTCCGGATAGTGGCATACAGCTGAAGCATGCGGCCAACGAGCTGAGGAAACCGTGCAATCGGGATCTGAAGGCGGTAATACAGGCGTTGCCGACCAAGTATAATCAGATCGCTTAAGATTAATGCATAAAAGGCGTTTTGTGTGAATAGGATGTTTTTTTTATGAACTGAGAAATGCCAAAGAAGACTTTTTTTTTTGAATCCACCGCCGGGCCATTCTCCCCATCTATTGGGACGTTCTCCGACACGATGGCTTGATTTGGTTTCTAGTTGTATGAACTTACTTACGCGTAAGTGTCTTTGCTTACGGGCATGCTTGGCTTACACAGTTTTGGTCATGAAATGAACTGCTCATTTGCTAATAACTTTGCACACAGTTGCCGAAACATAGTGCTTATTGGACCAGTAGATAGAATAGAGTTTAAGCTTGTTATTGATACGTAAGAAAAAATAGATTTCAATTCTAGTAATAAACTGTATTTGTTTTTGCGTTGTAAAGATGAAGTGAGAAATGCTCGCTGTACTTCTCGGACCTTAAGTATAAAAATTCATTGGTGTTGATTCAAATGTCAATATTTACCTACTCTTTGCATATCTATAGTAAACTATGATCCTAATTTATCAATAATTACTTTAAAGAAAAACAAATTTTGACAACTGAGTGAAAAGTTATAATATATTAACAAATGAGCAGTTGTGTTCAACTGTGCATGCCAAGCATGCTTACGGGTCCATCCCACCGGAGTATGATTAAAAATCAAATCTTGATCAAGTCATGTAGTAGGAACAGTCCATTGCTATGTGCAGGTTACAATAGGTGGTAGTCATCATCATCATCATCATCATCATCCACCTTCCTTTTCATGCATCACCAATCTATATGTACCTATACAGTATTGCCAGTGCTGATGACAACTCAAGACTCATTTCAGCTAAAATAATGTTTTTCGGAATAATAAAACCAAAAGATGGTATGATGGCATGTATTACTTGTAACTTACAAGAAGAGGTTACAAAGTATGCGTTGGAAACATAAAACCTGTAAATTTTGCTTTCTATGAGTCACTATCAGCGATTTGCTGATCGCTGAGTGAGTGAGTGAGTTTGTGAAAAATCGCTGACTGTGACTCTCGTGAAGTGAAATAAACAGGTTTAATATGTCAAACACATTCTTTGCAACCTCTTCTTGTATCCTACCAATTCAAAATTTGATCATAGCATCTAATTATTTCATAATTTAGAAAAACATTGTTTTAGCTGAAATGAGTCTTTGCAACCTTGGCCCTAAGACGAGAAACCACCTTCTGGTTCCGTGGTTTCGATATATCCGTCCACTAGGCTCGTCGTTCCTTTGATTCTTCGGATGAAGAGGGATTGGGATTGGCACCACTCTGCTTCCCAGGCTTCCCAGATTTTGCTGACTATCCATTAGAGTGATGCAAAATTTGAAATTTTCGCTCCACAATACTTAAACGATTCCAAACCGGATCCTGACTAACCTCTCAAAATTTGAACCCATTTGGTGAGAAACTGAGATGGCACAAACCATTTGAAGTTTGTATGGGAATTACTATGGTAAAACCAAGATTTTTGTTCATGTCTATCTAATAATTCACCATATCGGTCTGCTTCAAAAACTTTCAACTGTGCTTGTAGGAAATTCTCCCAGCTACAACTTTGTTGAACACAACTTTTTGATTAAATGCAAGGATCGAAAGTTATCAGTAATGGTTCAATGCGCTGATGTCTTATGATCATGCTCAATCAACTGCTCAGCAGGCAACATTGGTGTTTCTGGGGCGTTGAATAGGACACAAAAATCATGGCTACTATGTCACACTGCAAAATACAGTGTTGCCTACAGAGCAGTTGCTTGATCATGTCATAAGTTTATCAATCTCTTAAATAATTAATAACTTTTTCCTGTCTCGTTTTACATAGAAACAGTTTTCAGCAATGTTGTAGCTGAGAAAATTTTCTATAAGAATGGCTATCAAACTGTTTCGTAGCTCAATATGGAAAAAGACTAGAAGGCAATGAACAGAAAGTTGAGATTTCCCATATTAATTTACATGTAAACTTCAAATGGCTTGTGCGAAGCCTATTTCTAACCAATTGAGTTGTAACTTTGGGAGGCTAATCAGGACCCGATTTGAAACCATTTAAGCATTGTGGAGCGAAAAAGTCAAATTTTGCATCAGTCTACTATCCATCGCTTTTTGTCCTGTAGTGGCACTTCGTCGGTGTAACGGGGGCCAGCTGGTCCAGACCCGGCCAGGCTGTCGGCTTCGCTTTTACCTGGGATACCGTCAGTAGTGCACAGGGATACAGGTGAACATCGTATGGGGTGGGTGGGGTGTGGCCTCCACGATACCCCGTATCTAGGGGTGAGTCGGGGTCTCAGATGTAAGGGCTTGTATCACGCTGTACGAATCGGATAGCACCAGTATGGGCCGGTCCGAAGGTGTTGTAACGGCAACAAAGATGACCGCAGCTTCGGCGCAGAAAACCGAGCATTGTGGCGGTAGGCTGCTACTCATCGGTGCTGAAATTCCGGCTACTCCAATTCCGACCGACTCCATTAATTATTTTGAGAAATTGCTCATAACAAAAAAAGATTTTACTGCATTAATTTCAATCTAACTGACATTCAATAGCATTCAAACAATCGGTAATAGGGTAGCAACGATTGTTGTCATTAACTTGAAAGTTGTATTTTTCATTAACCATAATAACACCGACAAAGTACCATCAAATTTCTGATCAAAGCACAAAACTGACATCTGCCGCCGTGTTCGCGAATAACGTGTATCCTAGCCACGAACACGCATACAAAATGTATGAGTTGGATCGTGCCTAATCTATTCCGGGCAAATTATTTTTATCTAGATCAAAATATCCTATGGTTTTGACAGTTCGGATCACTGCACATTTAAATCGGCCGTTTACGATTTTCGGGTATAAGTCAAAATTAAGTGTCATGTCGGTTTGTCGGTGAGGAAAATCGGTATGGACCAGCGCTGCCATTTATACAGATTTATCTGTATTATACAGATTTTTTAATCTTAATACAGACCCGATACAGAATACAGATTTATCACAGATTTTTAAATTACAATACAGATTTATACAGATTTTTATAAAATGCTTGAGAAAAAAAAAATTCAAAATTTATAAAAACAAAATAACTTGCTCGATTTTATCAGCGTACCCCCTTCTCTCCAAAATTAAGAGGACAGAGGACCAACCGCTTTCGGATGCATATGGAGCTGGTAGTAAACGATTTGAGATTGTATGGGGATCTACAGTATTAATTGAATATTTCCAATATAAGCATGTATGTTAAATACAAGAAAAGTGCCCGAGCACATTAAAATGGTACAAATACAAGTACTCGTAAACATTTTACTTGCATTGAAAATGTATTTCGTAAGAAATTGCGGATGTTCTGATATTCTCCATACTGCAAAAATGATTTTACCAGCACTGGCGGGGCGACATCTCTCGACTTTTCGGTGTAACTACCACACAAATGATGTAATTAATCGTATTCATCTATATTAAAAATATCAAATCGTAATGAACTCGTGCACTTTTTTGCATTTAAAACTGCTTATCAGGAAGATAATGAATAGAAACTAAAATCTCCATACATTTTCAAACGGCTTCATATCACTCTTATAAATAAGTACGGACGATATCACAAATGGCGCAATTATATCCCGTATGGTTAGTACGATAGCCCGAATAGGTGGTTAAGCACTTTTTATGGTTATTTTGTATGCACTGTATTTGTAAAACAACAAAACATGATTAATTAAGAAAAAAATCGTCAATACAGAAAATACAGATTTTTTAATAGAGTGGATACAGATTTTTTATAAAACCACCTGGCAGCTCTGGTATGGACACACGTTGACAGTTGTTGTTATTCACATCGTCGTGATTGTGCGCTGCTAAATTTGTCGATTTTTTATCACACGGGCTATCGTTATTCGTTTTTTTTCCGTTCGGTATACCTGTAATATTGTACTGGTTGTTAGTGGAAAGTGCAGTTCGTTGCGATAATCGTCTAATTAGCGCATATTTTGTGTTGTGAAAACAGTGAAAAAGTTATCCAATCAGACATGGTAGTGTATACCGTCTAGCATTGGGCGATCTTGAGAATCCAATTCCTCTTTGCGTATTGGCGTTGACGGCGACTCTGTAGCTCTTTACTCCTATGAGAAAATCCATAAGCAAACGTCAGGCTGTGCGTGAAACATGGCGGACTTTGTACTATCCTTTCACTCCACCGAAAATTCCCATAAGAAACTGTCTATATTTGCTGAAAGAGCAAATTTTTTGACGGTGCCGTCAACGCCAATTAGAGCATCTCCACCGCTGTTTCTAAAACACTTTTGGAAACTGAGTCAGCATGACTTCCGCCTGTGACCAATGCGCTAAACCAGTTAAAGGCGATGAAGAATCCATCTCCTGCATGGCTTTTTTGCGACAGGATGATTCACCTAAAGTGCGGGTGCAGTTTCGAACGCCTTTGGATACGGTTGTGTTTTAAGTTTGTTCTCTGTTTTGTGCGTGCGTTCGCGTTCATAGTTTTCGGCTGCAATTGCCGGATTATCGCTGGCCCTCTGCCTCCCGGACGTTTATACGTGTGTGATTGGTAGTTTTCTCGCTTTCCGGGAAGTTTTAGAATAGAGAAAGAAAACGTGATTCAACATGTTTGCAAGCATCAGAAGAGATGTCGCGATCTGCGTTGTCTGATTTTCTCCCGGACCAGAAATTAGTGGCATCGTGAGTGATAATTTTTAATTCCAGTTTATTTACGCGCTGCAAGGTGCGTGAAAGAGCTCGGCACAATCAGCGTTGATGTTGGCTCGCTACTTTTTTTTTTGTGTTCTCGAAAGAAATTGATCGAAATTGTACCAAAAGTGCTTCTGAACGTGTTTCGCAGTTGGGTGTGGTGAAATTCGTGAATTCGCGGTTTATGTTCAGTGAAAATTCTGTGTCACAAAATTGCTTATCGAGTTTCGACGACGACGACGGGTTTGCGAGAGAAAAATAAGCATCGGGAATGTGCTCCCGGATGTATTGATTTGATGAGTACGTTCCAGTTG